TGCATTCATATTTGTCTCCCCAAAATGCCTATTAACTGTAAGAAAAATGATTTAAACAAAATGTTTTTTTTTTTTTTTTAATTCTGTCTACATGAAACTAAGGGTAAAAATAAGAAGTTCAAAGGACCTTCTCCTGACTCTAGGAGCTTCATCACTTGTTCAGCATTGTTCACAATTTCTTCTCTGAGACCCGCAACGAAAATCCCACGCTACAAATAACAATAAAAATCAGTGATTTTTATGCATTCTGGATAAACAAGTGAAACTTCATCAAAATTTAATCAATGGCTGACCTCCAAACTCTCATGAATCTGCAATTTCTGATTCTCTACCGAGAAAAGGTCGTTAATTTCTTCATTATAAATTTCCATGTAGGAAACTCGGATGAGAAACTCTCGATCAGAAATCTGGGAATTGTTATTCAACACCAAGAAATCAAAGTCAAAGCTCCAATATTGAAAAAAGTAAGCTGGATTAAAAAAAATCTTTGAAAAAACCCAAATTTATTTAAATTACCATCTGTATTTTCTGAAATATATCGTTAACAGCTCGATGAATAATTCCGGGATCGTTCGACGAACCATTCATAGTGAAGGTTTTACCACTGCTCGTTTGACCGTACGCGAATGCAGTCCCTAAAACATTAAAAAAGTGTAAATAGTTACAAATTGAACGACTTTTTGGACAAATCATCAAAATTAGGGCTTAAAAGAGGGATGAAAATTAAACCGTTAAAGCCGTCGACAGCAGCATGAATAATATCCTCAGTAAGAAGTTCGTAAACCTTCGAATTTGAGCAACTTTCATCGAAAACATGATCTAGAAGAAAAAAAAAACGAAATTTCAAGGCGTGAGAATTGGATTTAAAACGGGAAAAGGGGGAAGAGGGATTTACCGAAAGCGTAAGAAAGGCCAGAAATTGGGGTGCCGTGAAGCTTGTGCAGAGAGATTCGGTTATCTTCGACTCTCCAGAAAGTTCCAAAAGAAGTTTCTTGGGAGATTGGAGGTCTTACTCTCACTGCTACGCAGATCTTCTCAGCCATTTTCTCTCTTTTTTGCTTGTGTTGTTTCTTTAAACGTTGGATTGCAGAAAGAGGCGGGATCTTGAAAAAGAAAAGAGCAGGAATCGATTTGAATGTTTTGGGTTGACGGAAATGCCCTTAAAATCGAGCTTTTATTACATTTGTTTTGGCCTGGAGTAGAGGATTAGGACCCAATAGAACGGGTCTCATCGCCCAGGTTGTTTGGGCCATGTTTCACATTTTTATCCTTTTCACAATATACAATTTTAGAAAATTTGACAAATATTTTGAAATTTTTAAATATTTGGTTATTGAGACCCACCAACAATATTTTATACGATTTTAAATTTAATTGTAAATATCGTCTTGATGGCAAAGAAAAAGTTCTAAAACTTTGAGGTCTAAGCCATTGTATGAATTTGATTGTTTAATTATTTAATGATTGTAGTTTACTTATAATATAATAATTAATTAATAATTATATAAATATAAAATAAATTTAATTAAAAATAATATTCTAGAAATAATAATAGGAAATAATTTAACATGAGACAATATTTTGGTTCAAATTTTAAATTTTTTTTTTCGAATTTTTTGCCTTTGATATTAATATAGAGCATTTTTGTATTAAATGCTTAAAGAGTAGAATATGGTATGAAGCGGATCATGTGAATAAAATATGTGCCAAATACGTTAGGTACAGATATTAACAAATGAATATCCAATTTATATCATCTTTTATGGTTACATGATTTGTTTATAAAGTATTAAATCATTTATACTATAATTTTAAAAAGTAAAGCATTGTATCATAGTTTGGTTTTGTAGGAAGGCAGATGCCCAATTCTAACATTTGTATGGAAATTAAAATAAGCTCTTGTAATTGGAAATTAAAACTACACCTTTAAAGTAACTATAATTTATTTCACCTATATCTTGTGTAATCCAAAATAAACTTTGTTTAACAGATAGATTTTTAGCAAATTTAGAATTTTAATTTTAACTCTTGTAATTTCTCTTTAATTTCCTATGTCAATGTATAAATTATTTTACCATCCACGTTAAGTTAGATTGCACAAAAATGATCGAGGGTTCTTTGTTTGTACTTCATTCAAATAATTCAACAATGATTATTAATCTCTCACACTGAAAATTTAAAATTTCTTAGTGTGCACATAATGGTTTATAGTGTTTTTTGCTAATAAGAAAAAATATTATTTGAATTTGAAATTTAATTCAGTTAGTTTATATAATTATTTTCAAATAATATTCAATAAATTTAAAATTCAAAACTTATCATATGTAATTTTTTTTTTTATTTCTAATATGCAATATGCTTTTATGAAAAATGTGATTTAATTTTTAGAAATTTTGGTTTTGGATTGAAGTGCATAGTACATATTCCATCATCTCTAGAAAATCCATTTAAAAAAAAAAAAAAGAAAAACTTGTTGTAAAGCCTACAAAGACGCCCTAATTAGTGGACGATAATAAAGATGAGTTGGACAAGTTTCAAATTTAAAGCATTTTTCAAGGAAAAAGGAAAAAGCAAGATTTAAGCAGCAATACCATTAATTCTTCTCTTTTTTTTAGCTAACTTCTGAGAACTTTCAAATTAAGAAATACAAAAGAGAGAAAAATTTAACATTTTTTTCGGCAAACTTTGGTTGACGATGATGATCAGCCGAATTAAGCGGAAAGACAGGAGCCTACCATTTGGCAACATCTAAGCCAAAATTATGAGTGTAGAAAAAAAATGGAAAATCATCTTGAATTTGGTATACTCAACTTATGGCAAAAGAAGACTGGCTCTTACTCTTTTTTTTTTTTCTTCTTTCTTTATTACAGTTGTTGGATAATCAAATCTCTCTTTCTTTTTTATGTTTCTTTTTGTTGATATGATGGGGGCTACAGATCCAAATTATCAAAATCCATTCCCTGTACCTGGATGAAAGATGCCCCATCTCCTGAAAATTGTAGGACTCAAACAGTTTCATCATTCATGCACTTTATTAAAGTTTAATAATAATAATAATTGTTTTGCGTGATGCAGCCATGTAGGGACATGCATGCTTGTTTTACGTAAATTAATTAATAATTTTTTGTTTTACAAGTAAAAAAGCAAATGCACATTTGTTATTCATTAACTGTTTAATGAAAGTTTTGTCGTGTTTACATCATGATCCATACAAAATCTCACTAACAAAAAGGCAAATAAAACACACAAAAAAAAAAAAAAGACTAGGGTGGGAGGATTCTTTGGCTTTTTGACTCGCATTCATTGGGTTGGTACGTTCAAAGTTCCACATTTTGATGGTTGTGGATTTCTCTAAAAGTTTCTTTCTTGTGTGCGTGTGTTTTTTTTTTTTTTGAAATGTTGGTGGGTGGGGTATTAAGCTAAAAACTTTGACGAGTTCAAACTTTTAACAACTGAAATATTCGAGATATAGCAACCATATTTGATAAGGAGACAACCAAGATTTTTGAGAATCTCATCAAAAATTTGGATTTTAAAGCATGAAAAGACATAATATCAGTTAAAGATGGAAATAATTATATCAACTTATATATATTTTTCGCACCTGGGAAACAGCACACGAATTGTTCTGGAAAACGAGGGGTGACTTATACTTTCTCTTTTCGCCCTGGACCCTGGTGATCAAACTCTCCCTTCTCACGCATACTTCAAGATTCGTGATTTAAATTATTATAATTTTGTTTGGTCACTTTCATTAAAATTTATGCTAATTTTGGAAAGTCGGTCTGTTATCATCTTTCAATTTTTTGAGTAATTGAGCGTTCAAATTGGCGATTGCATTCTTTTAAAATTAAACAAAAAAAAAAAAAGAAAGAAATATATTTTTTGTATTTCATAATTCTCAGTCTCCTCTTTTAAATATTAAGATTTGAGATTATTCTAGTTTTGTTGTTGGAATTTGATTTAACGGAGAGTTAAAATTCATCGAAACTCAAATCCGGCCTATCCCTTTTAACTATGTATAAAACCCATTACCGCTAGCCTTGAACATGTCACAAGCAAGCATATCTGGTTTCGTTTGGCTGGAAGTAGGCAAAAATTACAGCAAGGGCTTGGAAATCCACTTAAATGTATAAAGAATATTGACCACTCTACCTTTCTAAAGGAAGTCATTTTAAAAGCATAACGTCAATTTTTTTTCATACAATTTCTATACACATCAGATGATGAAAAGTCTTCGCATAAGCAGTACTAATCAAATGAGGGGAGATTAAATATATCTATACATATTCAATGTTTCACCCATAGTTATCAAAATCAGATTGCTTCTATTGTTTGATTCGACTTTTACATTAGATTGATTCATTAATTGGATCATTTATACAATTGATTCAAAAAAATTCATATTGATTTGTTGAATATATGAAAAAATCGATGATCATTCAAGTTTTTAATTGACCTGAATCAATTAAATGACTTTCCAGAATAATTTTAAAATCATACTTAATTTTACACCATAATTATTGATTCTTTTGTATTTTATAAAAAAATTATTATTCTTAAAAAAAAAGTTTAAAAATTTATTAATACATTACAAAAAATTATAAGCTTAGGTTTTTTGTATTTTTAAATGATAATGAATATTTTTAATTCTTATATAATATTTTATAATTTATATAATTACATAAAATATTTATAGTAATTATTAATTTATTTATAATATTTTAAAATAAATTTATTAACATAAGATGTGAATGATTCAACGGTTGAATCATTTGACCCAAAACTCAAAACCTTAAACATATTATTATCTAATTTGATTCTGATAATTATGATTTCATCATATAAATGCATATTAACTAAGATCCAAAATCCATATATTTATATTTTATTATCCAGTTATTAGGCATTAATCGTTAGTCATGAAATGTGTGGCAGCAGCTGTAGCAATCTAGCAGAGAATCTATTGGTTTTGTCACGTTGAATTATGGCAAAATTTTTACCAATAAATTTCTAATCAACTTTTTAGCAGATGAAACCATGGTTTCATCCATGGGGTCACTTCAAATTTTATAAGCTTTAAAGCCAACAGCCGCCCACGAAAATTAAACCAAACCACCACACGTTTACGTCCAAAAGTTTTTGTCGGTTGCTCTTTTCGTTTGCAAAGAGAGAAGTTTAATATTGTCAAAACTTGTCAACATTTTATCCATGAATCGCATCCAAATTAACAATAATTCTTCATATAAGACAGTGAAACAAACATCATCGCATTCACTAATATACAAGAACTCATTGACCCATGAATTATATACAAGAATTCATTTACTTGTCTGCCTAACTTACAATACACATGCAAAAGCAACTATATTAGAAGGTTGTCAGAGATTGATCTCTGATCATTTAAATAGTGAAATTAACATTTCAACATGATATCAACAGATGACACGAATAATGGCAATGTGATAATAATTTTTAGTTAAGTTAAACTCTATAAAAAGTAGGCTGCTAATTTGCTTGCATGGCGGCTAAAGTCCAGTATAGATCCAAGAGCTTGGCCCAAAGTACTATGGATTCGGATCTTAACTGTTCATTTTCTCGCCATGCAGCGTGACACTGATTAATGACTGAACTTAGCCTGTTCTTAAGCTGCTGGTTCTCTATGTTCATCCGGTTCACTTGGTCCGTGAGGTTCTCCAAGTGCCTCTTTTTTCTCCAACGTGACCGCCTGGCTGACTCCCGGTTTGATATCATGCGTCTATGCTTCCTCTCGTCCGGTGAAAATACCGCCCGACTTGAACCTTCTGAACCGGAGTTTGGACTAACCCGTTCATCAGATTCAAGAAATGATAATAATTCTTCAACTTCTTCGGGTGTAAAACCAGTTTCATGAACCGGTATTTGGAATTGAACCGCTTCTTCAGCTAAGAACATTGGGTTAATAAGACGAAACCAAATAAGAAAAATCAAAGTAAACCAACCAAAATGAGGCTAGAAATTTTAAATTGATGCTAGGAAGTAAGAGAAGAGGGGAAAAGGGAAGGACAGAAGAGGAGGGAAAGGGTATTTAAAGAGAGGGAAGGGACATCTAGGGTCCTCGTGAACAAAAGATTTTGGAATTGCAGGGATACTTTTCCAAAAACATAAAGGAAAAAAGTTACCATTTCAAAGCAATGTTAAATACTTTAGTTTTTTTTTTTTTAATTATCCTTATATTAAAGGCAGTGGGGGTCATTTTTTTCTTTATTTTTTTTACAGACAATCGGTGGGCCTTGCAGAATATTAGGTTTACCTTAATCACGAAGATTCAAACAAAAATAAATTAAAAAATTTTGTCTTTAATATTATCAATGAAATTTTTTAATTTTGTAGTCGATAGGATTAAAAATTAACGTGTGTTTTTTAGTTAATTTTTATCTTTTTTAATATACTTTAATTACTTTATTAATCTTATTTGTAAAGTTTAAAACTTACATTATAAGTAGATGAAATAATTATAAAAAAAAAAAAAAACTGCCTGAGAAGTGATATATATTAGATAGACAAATAAAAAAAATCATGTGGGATACAAAAGGGAGAAAGGTGGCAGTCCTACTATAATTTTAAAAAAATAAAAAATTTTCGAAGAGAAAAATGTTTAAAGGTGTTGCTAGAGAGATTGTGGATCAAGGACTACTGGGTAGGGGTTACGTGGATTTTGTCGGGGTGTTTAGTTACAATGATTATGAGAAGCATAAGGCACATTTGCATGTGGGAGAAAAGACAATGGCAAACATGCATTACACATTAGGGTTTTTCTTTTTCTTTTTTTGTTAAATTATTTGTTAGTGTATTTTATTTATGAGAAAAGTGTATAGTAGGTAACTTGATTTAAGAAAATATTTATTTTATAAAACTAGAATGTTATAAAATTTTTGACAAATTTATTGGAAATAAAATTTCCAAGTCCAATGAAAAACAACAAAAAAATATCATATGAGAAAAGAATAAATAAACAGAAATCCATATGGTGATCTTATACTAAGAATCTCGACATTTTTAAGGTACTTTTTACTCTTCTGCAAAAGTAAGCAAAAATTGTAGTTTTTGTGAGGGAATTAGGATTGCCTTTTGTTTGAGTTACTCTTGACCTTTTCCCCTCCCAAAACTTCAGAGTCATTTGCTTTTCTTCTAATATATTATTCTTTATTGATTTTAAATTGTTTCCCAGTACTGCAGATTCCAGGGTAGTGTTATTGGAAGTTTTTCGTTTATTTGGCAGTCAGTTCTCGTTTCAGAATCATTTTAAGCTAACCATTCCCAAAAGGCCAAACTACTATAGTGGAGGCTAACATGCACAAGATCGATTTTTAATTAATTTTTATTTATTTTATGAAAGTGAGCTCAACCATTATCATTTTAACTCAGGATATTACGTGCTTTAAGTTCTTTTGAGGTATTTTTAATGATTAACTGCTTTACTTAATCCTTTTTTATAATTCACTGCTTTAATTAACAAATAGAGAAGTTGGCTTCATGTGCTGCTGCAACTGATTCTCATTAAAAGCCATTACATCTGGATGCTGGAATGGATGCCTTATCCCTTTTTCTTAATGTCTTTTACCTTTTGTTGCTCTAAAAGACTGCCTCAATTTGTCGTGTAAGACCCCATAGTAGCAATGGCGCATTAATGTTTTTTTTTTTTTTAAACTTATAATACAGGTAGGGGCATTTTCAAAATTTTGTTTTAACCTAATTTTTTTTCAAACAATTTTAAAAATGCATTTACTTATGTCAATTTGATGCGTTCAGAATTTTTCTCTCAAATAACCTCTCACAATCTAATTTTGATTGACAAAAAAAAAAGCCTCCCTTTCTTGTCATGGCTATATAATTTTACTGGAATTATATATAGTTCCAGTAAGAAGCAATTGGAAGAATTATTTATTGAAAGCTAGAGGACTCTTATCGAATCTTTCGTAACGACAGTTTAATGACTAACTAGGTATGAAGTTTCAAATTAAAATAATCTTTTAAAAATAGATTATTATTCCCGTAGGCTTGTTTATAATAACATCACAATTTCGATCTTATAATAAAGTCATGAGAAATTAAATATATATATATATGATTTTTTTTTGTACATATAAATAAAGATAATAATAAAGTATTAAAGGACCAAACCAAGATCTTCCTAGGATATGGTTGTTTCAACTTTTAAATAGGCTATAGTTAACGAACCAAAAGTAGTTCATGTCTTATGGCACAACTGAAGCGTCAACATTTCCCTCAATAAAACAGTCCTTTTGGAGTTTTATAAGACGAAGCAATTGTTTAAAAGCCAATAGCCTATAGCCACGCGTCCCAACACCAGAAGCCCTTTGCTATAATTGAGTATTACTTCGGAAGCAGGCAAACCCAGTGGAGCCTCTCACTCTCTCTCTATGTCTCTCCCATGTGCACCCAAAAGCTGAAATGTTGAAATCTCATTGCCCTTTGTTTATTTTCAGAGGCCAACACTGGTTCTCAAAAATATATCGAGTTTAAAGACAAGGCAACCACAGTCCACAAAAGATCAAATCAAAAGTGATGCAAATCTAAGTTTTTCCAAGCAGTTGTCTAGTTATAGACTGCATAATTTAACTAGTTTTGGCAAAAGTAAATTTGATAGTATGGAAAGCCAAAGTAAAGCACCGAACACAAAATTGAACTGGTTGGCCAATGAGAAAAAGAACCATAACAGCAATTAAGAAAGGATAAGTACCTTTGACACTCGAAGAGAACATATATGGAAACTGACACTCCTCGAGTATTTTAAAAACTTCTAGGGTTAGCTCAATACTGCAAAGAGAAACAATTCGTATGCAAATGGAAGGATTAATGCCAAGTGATAGCCTTTGCCATAGAACAGTTAGGAAAGTTGAACGTAAAACCTTTTCATCCTTTAGGAATGTAAAAAGAATCTGATACAATGAAGTAGCATAAAGAACAGACTAGCATCTACAATTAATATTATACAATATTTCATCATACAGCCTTAAGACACTCAACCCCACACAAATATAGTGGGGAGAGAGAGAGAATTTCCTTTCGTGCTCTGGAAGGTGGGATTTTTTGGACATTTTTTGCTAGTATACCTCTTGAATGCTTTTTCCTTCTGCAGGTTGCATCTACTCATCTGTTTCGCAGATTTTGGCAACAAGAAATACAAGACATTTACAAGTTCACTGGAGGACTTCCCTGAGTTTGGCAATAAGCAAAAATAGAACTTACCACACTCATTGGCATGCAGAGAAAAATCAGTGAAGGCAGCCTATGAGATTACAATACAAAGATCATACCTTGAACAAAAGATCATAAGCAATGTGTTCCCAAGGCAATGTTATAGACATTAAGCAGCATTTCAGAGGTATCATCTCTTCATCAGAAGTTGAAGTGGCAGCAGCTGCTGCATAAGCATGCTTTGCTGCCACAGATGCAACAGAAGCTGCTTTACGAACAATTGAGCCAAGCCCGAAACCCCTTTTCGACATAACTGGTGAAAATGGACCCGAATCTTGCTTGCTTTGGTCTGATAGAGAAACATTTATTTAGTGTTTGACTCAATCCTTGCATGCACCACCTTTCACATAACATGATCAATCATCTAATATCTATTTCATTAAACTAATCAGTTGCTCATAACAAGCGGAAAGATAGAGCATTAGAAATAAAGGGAAGCAAAGTATTCATAATAACTTCCATAAGTAATGGCATACGGATTGTTCACAGTTCAAATGCTAGCACAAACTAAACTGAGAACACATCGTTCACTACAGGTAATTACTAATTACCATTTACCATAAAACTCAATACCCTCAAATTTATTTTCACTTTGAAGTGTGACATAATGATTGATCAATGGGACATAGGACAATTTGGGTTTTGACACACAATAAGCCTAGAGAAACATAGGTCATAATCAATTTACAGTCAGTTGCCATAAGCAATTTACAGTCAGTTGCCAAATTTAATATACATAAGCATTGAGAAAATCAAGAAACATAGAAGAAAGTGAATTTTACAAGATAATTCGAAGTAGGAAATTCTTACCGACCTGCAACACCAGAAACAGCCACTTCAACTTCCCCACGTCCTCCAGGACCTTTCATGTAAAGTCTGTCTGTTTTGCCAGGGGAATGACCAATTGACAGAAGACTTCCAAATCGAGAACTCCCAGCTGAGAAAGAAAGACAAATGATATGAGATGAGAACTAAATAAGCATGAAGAAGACATTAAGAACAAACTAAAAGCCAAGGATAAGCTGTTTAGAACATTAGCTAAGAAGTCTACATATTCTGCATCCTTTAAACTACAGCAAGCTTAGTCAGCTAGAAATCAACTGGAAGTTTACAGAGTTAATATGTCCGTTTTTCTATTGGCACATTACCATTATTATCTTTTATAAACGAAGAAAATGTTGTGCTAAGAGGTACCAAAGGGGGGGAGGGGGTTGCCAACCCATTACAAGACAGCAGTAAAAGGTACATTAATTGTTGCTTAAACAAAAGAACCAAGTTCAATGTCACATAAGCCATGCTTACACGTATCACATATCTATCAATTTCTTCATCAACATTCAACACGTAAAAACCATGCAGAAAGTATCTTATCCTCTGATGCACTAAGTTTTTGCAGAACTCCGAATGAACAAAAACAGAAGCCAATTCTTAGAAAGAGTAAGAAGGTATACCATCATATGCATCCCGAACCATTTGATAGCTCACAAATCCAGAAAAAAGTGTAAGCTGCAATAACAACTAGCTGCATGTCAAGTTTTCCGCAAACTGATCTTTGTTGCATTTAAAGAATTCCTGAGCAGCTTTTTCACAGAATAAATCCATATAAATACTGAAACTCAAGCATCAGTCTATTTGATGCTAACCAAAATGTTATTAATAACTTACACCTTCAAAACTAATTCATTATAATAAAATATTCCAAGTTGGCATTGTTAAAATGATACAACAACAACAACACACTAAGCCTTATATCCCATATTCTGGAGTCAGCTGTATGAAAAACTATATAAGAGAATCAAATTAGGCTGTAGTTTGAATCCTCTTGCGCCACTCATTTCTATCAACAAGCACATTTTCATTTAATTCCTTAACCATCATATTGATTTTTTTATTATTTGCATCCATATCTTTCATGGTTTACCTCTAGATGTTTTGATCTCTCCTAGATCTAGAGACTCAATTCTCCTAATCGGTGCACAACTAGGCCTACATTTCGCATGTCCAAACCATCGCAAACGGCCCTCTCTCATCTTCTCTTCAATTCGGACTACCCTTAATTTTTCTCAAATCTCTTCATTTCTGATTTTATCTCTTCTAGTCTTACCACACATCCATCTAAGCATCCTCATCTCTACTACATTCATTTTCTTCACATGTTGTTTCTTAACAACCCAACACTCAGTTCCATATAGTAATACAGGCCTTATAGTTGTTTTATACAACTTCGCTTTAAACTTTAAAGGCATGTTGCGATCAAACAACACACCCAACGCACTTCGCCACCTCACCCATCCTGCTTGTATCCTATATTTGACATCTGCTTCTATCTCAGTATCACTCTAAATAATTGATTCCAAATATCGAAACTAGCTACTCTTTGGTACTCTCTCACCATCCAACTTAATCACACTAGTACCCACTTCCTAGTTATTACTAAACTTGCATTCCATATATTCAGTTTTAGATCTACTCAATTTAAAACCTCGAGACTCCAATGTACTCCTCCATAATTCTAATTTCGCATTAAGGGCATCACAAGTTTCCACAACTAAGACTATATCGTCGGCAAATAACATACACCATGGCACCTTATCTTGGATACGTCCAGTGAACTTGTCCATAACTAATGCCAAAAGGACAGGACTTAGTGTTGAGCTTTGACGTAATCTTGAGATAATAAGAAAGCTATCTGTCATACCTCAAACCGTCCTCACATTCGTTACCACTCCTTAGGGTTACCACTCCTTAGGGTTAAAATGGTAACGTAGGAAAAATAATTTTCTTCTCATGCATATCTACCCCTTTCATGGTTTATGTTAATTTGACTTGAATGTTCACAGGAAAATGTAAAGCAAGATTCCTTCTGCACAAAAATGAACCATTGTTAAAACTACAAAGGCAGCCCATTAAGTTGTAGTCAACTATGCCACCTCACTTGCCTCTTAGCAATTCATTGTTGTAAAGAACAGTGAATAATTCGACTATCATAAAATTACATCAAAAGCCAAGCAGTTCTAAACACCTTCAGAAGTGAAGACCCTGGTTGATCGTGGAACTAATACACATAAATTATCACAAAGCACCTGAGAAAGGACCCAAACCTTACTATTTTTTGTCTTCATAGAATTAGTATCTACTCTCAATGGTAATTTGTTGCTAGAACTGCTATCATTTGTATCCTTTTCATTAGGAAATGCTGCCCCTTCATGTGCATTAAGAAGCACACAATAGCAATGATCCATATCTGTCAAGACCTGCGTGAGGAGAAAAAAAATGTCACAGCTACGTATTAGAGGTCCTACAATTAACCAAAAATTTCCGCTTTTCATGAAACCTGCAACGTCATTATAAATAAAAAAGAACAACATGACAACACTATAACCAAGAAAGGGTGCAAATCTTCAATAAAAGAAGTGACTTTGGTCCTTACACACTACACAAATACCAAGTTCCCAACTTCTTGCTAGCTCAGTGCTTTTGAAATGGGTTGCAAGAGGGAGGCAGTAATGCTAGCCAAGTTGAAACCCCTTATAGTGATCTAAACTTATTCTAATGCAAAAAGAGCAGTAGTTTACTTAATTGGAAATTTCATTATAAATAAATTAATTTGAAAAAATATAATATATCAAGCGCATTTATGCAACAAAATGAGCATAAACACACAGATGAATAACTTCATAAAGGAAAAGAAAGCAATTACCACTGCATCAAAAGTGGAGTCAAAATCGTCTATTGCGAAACATATGTCTGGATAGGCAGGTGTTGTCTCTACTTCCTAGATACATGTTAGCAAGAATGTCATGAAATTGAAGAAAGCTCAATATCACCACGATTGCTGAAAATAGAAAGGCTTGCCTTTTTTGAGTCCAAATGAAAATTTACTCGGCTGGGAGATGCATAAACAGTCTTCACAACCTGCAGGACAGCAGAATGAAAGCTTGACGATTAGGTAATGCAGCATCCAAATGTTGGCATGGACATTTTGGAATCCTTGCAAGAGACAGTATTTGATTTAGCATAAAAATAATTAAAGTTATAGGATTCAAATTGCAAAAATTTGCAGCCTATGGCTTATAACAAGAAGGATGAATTCAGTAATTAACGCAGGATATTAGAAGCAATGGTTGCATGTTTTTCTCTAGACTTCTCAGCAAAAAAATTTGGTCAGATTTTCTCCATGACAACAGATATTAATTTCGACAATAAGAACAATTCCAAAAGGTTAAAGAATATATATATATATATATATATGTCCTCCCCAAGGTTACCTAAATCATTAGCAGGAGTTACCTTGTAGATAGCAGACAATGGTGTATCTTGCCCCACTTGATGATGTCTAAGGACATCGTGACTGGAAAAAGTGGAAAAATAACTCATAGTTCAAATTTAATCAAAATCTAACACACGGAATCTATCAATAAAGAAAAATACATAAGCAGCAGATAAATATCTCTTTTCTTTCTCAAACTTAATATTAAAGTTCAGAGACAGAAAAGTAAGTTCACAAAGGGGGAAGAGGAGAGGAGGAAACAATAGGCATTGTTAGAGTAATAAGAAATAGAATATAGCATTTAACTTAAGGAAAGAATCAACCATAGATAGTAACAACATGAAGCTGACATACAGAAAAATAATCAAAATATGCATCAAAGTGCATAGATAAGACACAACAAAGGAAGCAAAGAAGAAACCTGCAAATCGCTACGGTTACAGTGTACGAAGTATGGGCAACCATGTTCAAGTAGAATGAGCGCCTCCAATCCACCTCCGATATACTCTCACCAACTAACTTATCCAACTGGTTCACAAAAGTAAAGACAATTATATATTAACTAGAATTAAAAATAAGACACAATTTGCACCTATGGCATTATAACGAGAAGCTAATGAATCAACTTAAACAAGAAGACCCAATTCAGATTCAAGTTGGTTTTGACTTTCTTTTACCTCAGGTGCCCACCTGCGTACAAAGTACGGAGCGACATCGTCGTCGTTATCATTAAAACCTTGTCCCCTCTGTAGCAGCATAAATTGAAACAATTAGCTTAATTTTCCAAAGTTAAAATTTTTATTTTTGATTTTTTTGAGATAAAATTAACAAGAAGTGATCGGGATTTGATACCCATTTTCTGACGAAAAATATGAGATCATCGTCTTGGCGTCCCCTCGATTCCTTACCCCGAACGAAATACAAATCGAAGACATCGTGCCAAAATTGGCCGTCCATTTCAACGTCGGAAGCATCTTGTTCTTCCACCGTCGTTTTCCCCAACAAATTCGAGTGCTTTTTAACCATGCTCAGTAACTCAAACCTAGACCCAACATTAAATTTTCAAAAAATAATAAAAAAATTAACATTTTTACTCGAACATGAAATTGTGGGAGAGATAAAACCCTAATCTTGAACGCGTTTACCTGGAAGGGGTTTCTTCACCAATGCGGATCATGGCTTTTTTTTTTCTTTGAGCGGTTGATGAGGTGCGGTTCTGTGGATTGAATTTTAAATTAATGTGCCGTTAAATGTAGTGCCTTTTTTGAAGATTTCGACGATGGATTGGGGAATTTATGACCAGATTTCAAGGTATTTAAAGCTGGCGCGAGGTTGATCCGCGTAGCAGTAAGTCGCTGCTGAGGCGTGAGGGAGAGAAAAAGAGACGACTCTTTCTTTCGATTTAAAACGGAAAAAGAAAATTGAAAAACGGTAAAAAGCTTGGTGCCTGCTGCTTGGAAGACAGACGGAGCTTTGGGCCTTTTATAGTGAGCTACTGGACCCATTTCTTGGCTTAACCTAATTGAACTTGTAAACCCAATAATCGAATTTTTTGTAGTGGGTTTTGGGCCTGAGACGGACCAAAACTAACAAAATGGCCCACATTAAAAATCGAAAATTTCTTATCATTTCTTTCCAAATTAAAGTATTTTATCGGGAAATTAATTTTTACATAATAAACAAAAAATTTATCTTCGTTTTGCCCAATAGTTACTCAATTATTATGAAAAGTAGGGAACTAATCCTTTTTACTGATACAAAATAAGATGATTGAAAATACAAGACGTGTGAGAGAAGATATAATCAATCAACATATAAATCTTTAAAGAAATTTAAATAAAAAATTGATAAATGAGATTGATTTTTTTTTTCTTAATCATTGTAAAAATAAGGAGTTATGAATGATACCAACTGTCCACTTTTCTTTATAAAAAATCATAATTTAAAAATAAAAAAATAAATATTGATATTTAAATTTTAAATTTATCGAATATAATTTTTTAAAATTAATTATATATAATCAATTAAATTAAATTTTGAATTTAAATATCAACCGTCCTATTTAAATAACTTTCTATATTAGTTTTATTTAGGAGTATGTAAGACATTTATGACTACAATTCTTTTTGTTCACTTTTTTTGAAGAATAAATTCTAGCACTAAAATTTTTTAAAATCAAGAAAGGCATTTAGAATCTAATGATCAATTGGATACTTCTTTAAGATCTTTAGTGAAACTAGTCTTAAGACACAAGAATTACACATGGATAGTTGTCAACTGTCTTACTACAAAATTTCTCACTTTAGGTAATATCTTTAATGCAGATTTGAAATTGAAACCTTAAGAACCATTTTTCTTATGAAATTTGCGAAGTACGTGAAAAGTGAAACTACAGAAGCTAAAAGAACAAGAACACCTTTCCAGCACAACATCCGGGTAAACAAAGACATATCCAGTACTATGATTCTCAATCATTTAGCAGGCTAGCTAGCTCATGCGTTTGGATTGAAGACTGAACGGATAACCAAAATGATTGATAATCAAAGATAATGATCAAGTTAAAGCTAAATTGAAGATTAAAAACGATTAGGGAACGGTATTTGGTGGGGTTTGATTTGACCCCTCACCATGAAAAATGAAACCTCTCCTTTTAATTTCTCGAGAGTTGTTATGGTGGCATAAATCCAAGGAGTTGTGATTTAAAGATAAGGGGCAAGTCCCTTCCTCTTGGTTGGCTCAAATTCCCTTTTTTTTTTTTTTAATGCTGCTGTTAGGCCTTCTGGTTCAATGGCAGTCTGCTAGGAGGGGTGGAATGAACTTTTGGTTCAATTGGCAATATATTAGAATTAATGTTTGAAAGTTGTGAGTTAAAAACTTTATGTTTTTAATTTTTTTAATCAAATAAATATAATTTAAAGGTTCAAAGCAGATTAAAAATAAAAATAAAAATAATAGGGGTGAAAGGGGAATGAAAAAAAAAATGCGAATTTTGCTGTTATAAAGAAACAAGCTTTGGATTCCTGAATAGGTTGGTAGAAAAGGGATTAAAAAAAAAAAAGCAAAAGAAATTTTGCCCAACAGTTCCAACAAACAACGTTATGATAATTATACCCAAAATGTCAACATCATTCAAAATCGTTCATATTTTATATATATATAAACACATTTGATGATTCATGTGTTTATATAATGTAAATTATTCATTATATATACACACGATAATTCATGTATTTATATAATATAAAATATTAAAATTTTTGTATTATATGTTATATTTTAAATAAAAATTATTTATATAAAAATATAATTTTTTTTTGTTTTATTAAGTTCATATATAATTATTTTTAAAATTTTAAATCATATAAATTTTATATTTTTTATATCAAATTTATATCATATTATTATATCATATTTTAAATTATTAAATCTAATCAAAAATCGTTTTTGAATATTTAAAGCACCACCCTTAGTTAATATTTACTCTGTATTTTTCTACGAAAATAAATATCAGCTGAGCATTCTTTCAGTAGGATGAAAAAGTAATGAAAATGTGGATCAATCTGAGTGTAGTATCTGAAGTATTGAGTTCCATTCATAAGAGGAAAAGATATACTATATATACGTATGTTAAGCACTACCAAATAGCAAAAAATTCAACGAGGAAAATTATCATAAGCATTAATAACATACAACCAAAGCCAATTTCTGGTTTTGAATGTTAAAGTATTTGATTTTTTATAATCATACATCGGATTTGCTTGCAAGTTGCAATGAAGCTTCTATCAAATTCTTTAAAAAAAAAAATTTTAAATACCCAGGCTGGTTGTGAGTATAAGTGAGAAAGTGGAATTATTTAGAAGAATCAGAATACTTTCATGTCATGATTTGGCAAGTAACATGTGCTTAAGGAAGATCTAACCTTATGAATTAATGAAAAAAAAAATTAAGAACCTTCCATTTTCTTGGAGGAATAATTAATAAAAATTTATCAGTTTTCCAGCAAAATTTTTTAGCCACTTGCAAATTATTTATGTAATTATAAACAATCTGAGTTCTGAATAATTGACCTGAAAATGTATTGTAAAAAAATTAGAAGATTGAAGAATTAATTGATCACATTGAATAAAAATGTTTAAAGCATAAGAGGAAGAAATTTTCTTATTTTCCATTTCATATTCATCGGAAATTCAAACAAAAGTAAATATATTTAACTCTTTCGCAGTTTTACCATTGTCAAATCCTCCCCAACAGCCATAATTCCATTAAAACTTTCACAAATCTGAGAAACTTCATCATATTTAACTTACCAAATAAATAAACAAAAATATTTCCAACCCTTCAGCCTTCAAGAAACGCTACTCCTCCTTTCTTCCCTTTCCCTGTCCTCCTCCGGCTAGTAGTTCCAACATCATGCATCAGGTTCCCATCACTATGAATCAAAGGCACGTCGTTGGCTTCGTCACCGTCGTCTTCCGTGGCTATACGGATGCAAGAACATCGTTCTAGTGATGCAAAGAATGCAGTTGCAACACCATTGATGAACCACATTGCAACACCATCAAGCTTTCCGCACACAGCAGCCGGTGACCCATGGGTGGATGATGAGGGCCGGACCATCCTAGGCTCGACGTTATTTGATCGAAGGTTGAAGAAACCAGAGCTGCAGCTACTTGTACCGGAGGTAGTGGCTGCCATGAATTTGGTATAATGAAAGTCTTGAAGTAGCTAGACACAGAAAGAGAGAGAGAGAGGTTTGGCTGAAGTTCAGGATGCCCCTTTAGCTCTTATGAGACTTGAATTATTGCTGTTGTTTCATTATGATTACAACAAGTCTAATTCTTGACATATGCCCTTAATCCATTGTGAAATTACAAGGGTGTTTTCCAAATTAGCAAGTTGACATTAGAAAACAAAAAAAAAAAAAAAACATTAACCCTATCCCATGGCACCCCAATCATCTCAATATATGTAGAGAAGGGCCCGCCCCTGCCCCCGCATGCACAGTGTTGTGTCCCAAGCCGGAATGGTAGACAATCACATTTCCTTTCACATTATTTGTTTTTTTTAATATAATGGAAGAATCTAAAGATATAGTGAAATATTTAATATAAAATTTTAAATTTATTAATTAATATGATATTTGAAAGATTATTTATTATTTATTATTATTTAAATTAAATACGTTAAGAATAAATATTATATTAATTTATAAATTTATAATTCAATTAGTATATTAAATATTTTATTATACTTTAAATTTTATTTTTGATATTAACCTTAAGAAGCAATTTCAATATTTTTATTTTTTTTTTCTTAGTAAATTTTAGTGTTATATTTATGATGATTTTGTAAAATTAGAACCAGAAATATAATGTCACGGACAACAACGTCATGGGTATACATAGTTTTAGAAATACTGCTCATTATATATAAATCATCTGGTCATATTTTAATTTTACTAAATAATGGATAGAAGTGCCTAAAGATTCTTTGTGAATTTCAGTACTAATGATTGGCAGTTTGGCACCAGATACTGAGTCACCGGGATGCCTAAAACTTTAAATACAAAGTACGAAATGTTTTAATTCAATTGATTTATTTAGTTATTTTTTTATTTTTAAATTATGATTCTTTTTATAAAATAATATGAAATGTTTTGTCAAATATCATGTAACCTTAGCATATATCTTATCAAATTAAGGATATTTTTATAATTTGAGGTCTTAAATATTCAAGTTTTCCTATGTAATCATTGGAGACCTATGACAGCGATAAATCAAATAATAAAGAATGGCAAAGGGGAGAATTTTGAGGGGCAAATTTGTGAAAGCATTGATACATTGTGAAGCAAGCTTAAAACAATAACAAAAGGCAAACCCCATCACATATCTTATGGATAGAACTTGGGCAATGCATGTAATTATTGTTCAAGTATAGACTAAGAACGTAATAGTAAAATGAAGGATAATGATGAGACCCAAAGGTGAAAGTGAGGCTAATCATAGTTTACCCCACTTGGCTGACCCACCCTTTTGCTTAACCTATCTAGCAATTAACAAATTAACTTTAGGTTTGGAGAGAGACCGAGATTAATTGTATAGTTAAAGCATGAAAAAAGGGTTCTTAGTTAAAATCTTAAATTCAATCTTTTAGTATGGGCAAAATGTATTCTATTTTACAAAATTATGTATATTTTGGTACAAAGAAGAATACAGTTTGAAAATAAAAAATTATAAATATTAAATTTTATTTTTTAAGAATGATTTTATGAATTAATTAAATTAAATAACAAAAAAATCGATAAATAAATTATTTACATTGATAAATTTTACCATTGATCGATCTTTATGGATATTTAAAATTAATTTGGGAATGTAAAATATAACCGAGCAAAAGAATTGTAAATAGTGGTAGTTGTTATATGAGAATTTAATCGAGCAACAAGTGTAGGACAAAATTTATTATGTGGAACAATGGAACGTGCTTTGTGCACTGTATGCATGAATAGATAGAGCGAAATGAATTATTGATGGCAGTCGGTGGGAACTTATTGCTTGAAGAGTTGATGCTGATATATATATATGAATTAAAATAGAGTAGGAAAATGTTGTAGGAATAATGAATTGATGATGACCATTCAGGCATTGGTAGCATTAATTATTATCATGAAGGTGAGTTGAATCTTTATACTGGCTTTTCCATATCAAAGAATAAATAATAAATGAATGCATCACATCTGGGAATGCACTTTTAAAGGTTATCTCTAATTTTTTATTAAAAAAAAAAGATTTGTTTGAAATTATTGTTGGATTGGAAATTGATTCAAGTACCCAAAAAAAATTTACGATTCGAAACATTATGCAAAAAAATTCATCTTTTTTCAGTAAAAGTTAGTTTGGAACAAAACCTGTGAATCCATTTGCAATAAATTGTCACATAAACAAGATTTTGGCACAAAATGCAGGTCCCAAACCAGTGATCAAACCATAATTGAGGCTTGATAATGATTATGTACTACTGCATGGAAACCGCTATAGCAGTAAGCACAACAATTGGGCTATGCTCTCGGCCAAGCGGTTTAAACAGATGGGGTTGCGTTGAGCTACCTTGATGTTGGGTCTGGATTCCTACCTTCAATGGGCTCATCATAATGTGATGAAGCTGCTGGTCCATTACCTGTTCCTTCAATCGTTTCGGCTCTGTAAATGAGCTAACAAATTTGGAATTGTCAAAACGGGAAACGTTTTTAATGGCTTCAAAAAGGAGGGTAGCCGTTTTTTGTCATTGCTATTCCAGATGTTTCAGAATCCTACGCGGTCAAGCCTGGATTACAAGATATTCCAGCTACTAAATGCCATTAATTAATTTCTTGCTCTGAATACAACACTATCAAATTGCAAAATCCCCACTCCCAGATTTCTTTTGTTTTTCTAAGGCAATCAAATCACTTAATCTTAACATATTAGAAAAACAATAATTATTTTATTTTTTATTAAAAAAAGTCGTTATTGAAAAATAAATGCATATATTAAATTTCAAACTTTAAATTTATTAAATATTTTATTTTAAAAATAATGAATCAATCAATTGAATTAAAATTTAAATTCAAAGAATTATTCCATGTTAAAATCTTAATAATCAATTCCATTCAATTGCTAATTTGAATAGGTACATTGAGAATTTGAGATGAAGATCACTGTTGGTGCCATTGCCTTTTTGGGTCTTAAAAATAAAGTTATTAATATCGTATCGAATAATGTTTTAATTTTTTTAAAATATGATATATATTGATATTAATTATTTTGATATATTATTTTTGATATTTTTGTTTAATACAAATATATTTATAAATATATATAAAATTATATATTATAATATTATTAATAATCTATAAAATATATATATAATATATTCAAAAATCAAATAAATAAGTTTAAAAGTATAAGAAATAATATCATAAATTTTCATAATATTTTTAAACATTTAATTTGATCAGATAATATTTAAATATGTATTTTTCATATAATTATTAAGATAAAAATAAAGAGATAAAAAAATAACGAAGACTTTATGATTGTTAAACTTTATAAAAAAGTATAATTATTTTTTTGAAAATTTTTTTTTTATAAATTTTGATTTTAAAAAATAAAATATAAAAAAATTAAAATAACAAAACTCAACCTTTAATAATTATTTTATCAATTAATTTTATTTTTATTATATTAAAAATAATTAAATAACAAGAAATAAATTAAATTTTATAAAATATATTTTATATTTATATATCGATTGAATTATGCTATTTTATCAAAATTTATCAAAATAAATCAAAACTAACAAAAATAATCGATTTTATCTAATACAAAATTTAATATAAACATTTATTATTAAATATATCTTATTTTAATATAATTAAAGCATACCAATCGTTCAATGCCAAAACGAAATTCACAATTATACTTAATGGCAAACAGATCCGCTCAAGTCAAGTTTTACAAGTAACGAAGCATATCAACGCATGTCAGAAATTAACTGGTTGGGGTAGAATTGACATTTAATTGCCTAAAGTCCACCCAAATTCAACCCTACCTAATCACTTCTACTCTTTCTCTCTCTCTTCTGTTTCCTCTATAAATTGATACTCTTTGTACCTCTTACCCTGCACCTCCGAAAATTATATCCGGAATCCAAAACAATGTCTAAGCTCTCCACCTTTTTCATTGCTGCCCTTCTTCTCAATTTTATGCTGAGTTATGCTGCTCGGCCCGAGCCTGCTTTACCCTTAACCCAACACAAGGTATGTGTCATGTCTTTACCTTCTTTCTATCCTTCTTACCAAACCCAAGTCTTTGGTTTCTTTTGTTCCTAAATGAAGATTTCCTCTACAAGTTTATATATATATTTTATTGATATTGAATTGTGGATAAGGATATTAATTGGTTTTTGTTCATGCAGGGATTTGAGGCAGAGAAAGTTGATGTTGATGAGAACTGTGAAGGAGTAGGCAAAGATGAGTGCTTGATGAGAAGAACCCTTGCTGCTCATGTGGATTATATTTATACTCAGCATCACAAGCCATGAAGTTGAAATTGTTGTAGGAGATAATGAAAAAATGGTTCAATTATAGCCTCAAACCATAAATAAATTATGTTTCCTGTTCATGTTGGCTTGATTGAGTAGATGGCTTAGCTAGTTTAGTTTCACAGTCGGTATGGTTTTGCATTGATCTAGATTTTTAATGGATAATTCAATGTTTTTTTTTCTCATGTCCATGCCCATATTTGATGCTAAAGAAAATGTTTGAACAAGTTTGAAAAACCTTTCAAATGAAAAGAATACAGATGAGCCAAACAGCCAATGAAGATTCTCTTAAATGGAGATTAAGACAAGGAAAAATTGCTCACTCTTAATTTTGGTCAAAAACAGTCACTGAAAACAATGGAGATTCTCTTAAAATATTAGGACTATTTGCGGCACAATTCACACATGTATGTAACGTATGAAATTTCCAGTCAACTCCAAAAGAAGAGATAATTGGCAACAGACAGGCTGAGGGTCAAACACGGCTATGACAATTTCACACCCTTTACATGTATTATCGAAGCGTATGCTGCTGTTAAAAATTAGTCATTTTCCTCATTAAATTTAATCTGATATACATTAAGATGATGTCGTAAATGCATGTTTAACAATCATAAGTGAGATGAATACCATCAAATTTTGTTTGAATATAATCCGTTCTGTGAACATTTTTAAGAATACATTTCTTTTATCGGTTTTATGTATTTAAGATTTTATTTCTCAAATGCTAAGGATCGAAGTATGGTTCTTCCTACCAACTAGATTATCCCGTTTGGTTTTATTCTTAGACGTTATGTAAATATAGATCTTAACAGGTCCAATAAAAAGATATTCTTATTATAATAAAGGATCATAGTTTATACTAAGATCAGTTGTTGTGGAATAATTCTGCTTTACATTTTAATTGGAAATGAATGGGAGACTAAAGATGAAAGTACAGGTCCGGCGAGGAAGTTTCAAAACAAATATTATGGCATTGGTTGACCTCGAAAGTCAGTTCACTCAATTTAATGGCAGGCAGTTTTGCACCTGGTAATTTTCCTAAGAGGAGCCCACTATCCAGACTGCATAGTCCATACCCACTTTCATTCTCAAAAGTTTCAGCATCTGAAATTTGAATGGCACCGAATTATCAATCATTGCTGCTTTTGAATAATTCCGTTTCCTCTGAGAATCAGAAATGTGGATGATTGTCTCACTCGCAATTTCCAGATTCATCCCTATCAACTTGAGAAAAATAGTATTAATATTAGATCATAGAAGCCAAAGACAAATCTTTTAGGAGTAATTTGTTATCAATGAAAGCAGAGTTCAGTCTCTAGCAATTTCTCACTAAAAACAAGCTCTACGTATATGCACAGAGACTTATATCAACAAGGAAAAATGCAGACTGAAAAATAGACTAGGCTGAAGGGTTGTGAATAAGTCCCCTCCATTCATGGGGTGTGGTTGCTATGAATGGTCTTTCTGTCACATTTTGTGATTAAGATCGACCAATCCCTTGATTTTTTGAGATAATTGATTATTATCTCCATCATAAATTCATAATCCAGTCATTGTGTCGAATCATGTTGCGGGATCAGAAAAACTTTCTTTGCCAGACAGAACTGATGCTCCTATGGAATAAATATCAAGGCACCAACCAGCAAAGTCATCCCCTCCTACTCAGAAAAAACACACTTCCAAAAGTGTGATATGATGCTGAATGATACAAGCTGTTAATAACAATGGCCAAAAAATTGACACAAATATTGGAATTCTATGTTTCTTACCAGGATCGGATTTTTGTGGAACAACAAATACCACTAATTCTGTTATACAGCAGTGAGAATATTGAGTATACATTTGAATAATGATAATAAATTTCAAGGAAGCTAGTATTTCTTAAAGCTAAGATCAATAAGAAAAACGAACTACAACACCTTAGTTATAAATTTTATTTGCAGGGGAGAAATATGCATACAAGGCCTTCTGATATAAGCAACTTTGGTAAGATTTCTTTGTATTTCCATGAAAAAAGGTACAAACTCGTTCAAGCAGGCAAAAGAACCCTACTACCACCCAGGATATGTAAGTACAGAGCAAGACAAATGGTGACAATAACGGAAGACTTCGCGCCAACATATCTGATAACATCTAGTCCCCTTTCCACAACCTTCTCATGGACAATATGAATGCTTCTTTTCAAACCCTCTGAAAGCTTCCATAATAGAAACTCCACTATAGACCTTATTGTTTCAACGGTCACCCTCCCAGTCACATCAAGCACAAACTTCCTATTGCTGGGAACTGCCCATGTGGATGAGACCTTATAAACCCACCCATTATTCTGAATCCCATCAAATGAGCTCCCTTCTTTCACTCCTTGTACAGATACTTCTTTATTGAAACCATCTCTCATTCCACTGGCATCCTCACTCTGATCAAGAACTGAACAAGTAGAACCCGAGTTTGAACTTGTCAACACTTGATGTGATGTTCTCACCAGCGTTGCCACAGCACCATTACAAACAGAAACTAAAATGTCCCTCACATTTTTTTGATGCTTTGGATTGGTCATCCCAGCAAACATTTCATCATAAGTATTAATGTCCATTGTCTTGTCAAGATAAACTGCAATAGCTGTGCTTACAAATCTTTGTATGCAATCAGCCATTAGCTCTTTGCACTTATCGTCATAAAGCACATTAACCCATTTAGGCACATCAGATGACACATCATTCCCACTCAACCCCCCAATTTCTACACCACTTGAGTAAAACCCCAGAACCAGATTCCTAGCAAAGCTACCAACCACAACAGATACAAAACCAGTCCCAGCATTAGAGAAAACCCTATCCAACACCCTATCAGTAAAGCTGGAATTCTCCGAAACCGTTTCCAATTCATTCTCATCCCCTGATTCTAACTTATACCCTCTTAAAACTCCAACTGTTAAAGCCTCAGTAACGCTAATAAAAGATTGGGAAAAATCCTCTGATCTCACAATCTTTGAAATTTGCTTCAAACTATTAGGAACTTGATCAGATCCAGATTGCAAAAACTCCCTCAAGTCCTTGGAGACAACATTGATCGTCTCCGCGGATTCTGAGACCAATTCAGCTAACGAAATCAGGGCTCCAAAGAGCTTGAAAAACCTCTTTCTCTTCTTCACCACAGAGGGCAAATTATACACCTTGTAAACCCCATAACCAGAGACTCCACACATAGCTAACAAAATAAGCCATTTTTTCTTCCTACGTGAAAAAGTCAGCGCCTTGTTCACCAATTGCAAATCCATTGACTGAAACAAAACGGTAGAGCTACAAGAAACGGAACCCGGGGCTTATCAAATACTAAAAAGAAAGAAGCGCTAATTAAGCCCAGAAAATTGATGGGTTTTAGATAAGCTTTCACAGGAAGAGAAATCTGGGGTTTCTTTTAAAAGTAAAAATAGATAAGAGAATTTTAAGAGCAGATATTAAAAGAGGCTAGATATAGGAGGTTACTTGTGTAATACCCTTTTTGAAATTGGTTTTGAATTGCAAGAATTCCTCTTCTTTTTTTTTTTTTTCGCCTTGAAGGAGAAAATGGATTTGCAGAAGGATGGTGAGAAGACGAACCTGGTTGCAGAGGGGGAAGAGAAAGGAAGAAAGGAAAGAGCAATTGCGTTTTTTTTTTTTTCCTTTTTCCTTTTTTTTTTGGTTCCAGTTTTTTCAGGTCCAGAGAGAATCTCTTTCTGTTTCTGTGGTTTGATTTTCCCAAAAGGCGGGGTTCTTTATAAAACGACGCTGCATCAGCATTGCGTTTGCTAACAGCTAACAGCTAACAACTTGCTTTTCGTTTTTATATGGTTTTGGGAATTTAATAATTGGTATGACAAGGATATAAATATTCCTAAATTGTTTTTTGAGTTTCTCTAACTTTGATAGATCATAATAAATCTCTGTGAATTTTTTGTAAATGATTTATTCTACTCTACAATTTAGATTTCGTTATAATATTATTGATAATAATTAGAAATAGATAAGTTTCTCTAATCCAGACTATGCATTTATTATGAATGTGTTAGGTCAAGTATGATATATATATATATATATATATATATATATATATAACGAGTTGCGTTTGATTCGATTAGTTTATAAAAGATCATAAAAGATAAGAAGTCAACTTGAGCATTTTTCAAGCGAATTAATTAATTTATTTTATAATCATACATAAAAAAAAGGAAATAATTTATTTTATAATCATGCATAAAAAAAAAAAAAAAAGAAACCAGATTTCAAATATTAATATTTCTTTGCTCAGAATTGAATAAAAAAGCACATGATCCTTCCACCGATCTAATTACATAGAGAATTCATATATTATACAATAGCAAATATGAGAATCGAATCTCATGAATCATGATCTCATCTTATTACATAACTGTTAGCAGAAAGATTTAAAAAATATCTCCTGTATCTAAGGGCAAACTTCAAGTTCTAAAAATGGAACCTTTAACTACAGATTTTCTGTACAAATCACAAACTTGTTCTCAATGCTACTATTCTCATTTCAACTTAAACTCCGTGTACATTTTCTATCGACACAGGCAGTCGTCCTTTCTGACATAGCGTAGTTTTCCCACCCTGGGAAATCGCTATATCGTTTGAGTTACAATCCTTGGACAATAATCACTCTATTAACAATTGATTGATCACTCACCGTATACAAACAAGCTCCCGAGACACCTTCACCACCTGCAACTGTTGCCCCTGCAACCATGATGATGTTGGTGTCCATAATCCCAGGTTTTACATCAAATCAAAGGACCTTTCGTTTTTCCATCTTTGGTCGAACCAGCAGAGCTTACACCAAGCTGAATCCAATCATAGGGCTTATGTTTTAGAAGTTTCAAATACTTTTGAAACAATCTTAGATTTCGTGGGAGTACTACTATCATCAATATCCTCAAGATCACTAAAAGAAATATCTTCTTCATTCTCCACAAAAATTGCAGCCCCACTGTAACCGCCAAATACAGAATCATCATCTTCTGGCCAATCGATCTCATCATCTTCAAAATTTGGAATCAATATTTTTGAGGATGAACCAACCAGACAATCCCTATCCTCAGTGTTGGACACCGGTTTTTCTTCAATAACAGACTTGTCTACAAATGGCATCTCATTACTTTCAATCAGATGCTTCTCAGTCTCATAATCTGTTGTGATGCTAGATGCAGGTTCAGAAACATAGGTCCTAGGTGACATCGTCTCAAAGGCAAAATAACTGGATTGGGAAGGAATAAGATCTTCCAGCGCGATACTAGAGCTGTCTACTATGCGGGAAGTGCTTCCATACCAATTAGTTTCAGGCTTTGTTTGCTTTTGAAGCTCCTTCATCCACAATGCTCTGGCTTCCACTACCTGCTAGTAATGGATGAACCACCAATAGAATTAATCAACAATCTTGTACTGCAGGAACTTGTCCAACATCAAGGGTGGAAAAACAAGTACATAAGGTATCTCATGAAGAGTACACTTAGATAGCATTTGGTACGGGGTAATCACTTCAAAAATCATGGTAATCACTTCAAAAATCATGGTAATCAACACATGGTGATTAGATCACTATATTTGGTATGCACTTGGTGATCCCACGTAGCGGTGATCTTGGACCATGTTGGATCACCCAGAGCGATTAGATCACTGTCTTGGAGGGTGATATAATTTCCATACGAAAGGGTGAAAAACTTTTATTATCGAAGTGAAGTGATATATAAAATTAATAATAGTCAATTTACCCATTTCATATGTGAATTACAAATTTGTTGCTACTTAAAATTGTAATTATTTTATATTTTTAAACTAATATTCATTATAACAAGTTTAAAATTAATTACGCATTTTTTATTTTTTACTATTTTATATATAATGTTTTTTTATTTTTCTTTTATTATGAATTTAATATATTGGTTTTATTTTCTAATTCAAATATTTTTTACATAATTTATAGTATTATAAAAATCAATTTGCTTATCAATAAATATGTTTATTAATTTAATTATATTTTATTATAAAATAAATAACTATTACTAATATTTTACAAATTATTATTTATAAACAACCATAAAAATATTAATTTATGTAACAATGACAATATGCATGGTTATTTTCGTATTTTTACACAAGATAATGTTTGGTTTTTAGTAATGCCAAATATAGCAATCTTTAATTCCTAAGAATTAATCATTGTTAACCAAACAAAATGATTTCAAATTACGAGTGTTAAAATCACTTTGGTAATAAAATCACCCCAATAATTATATTACCATGGTGATCTTGCAAAAGATACCAAACGCCACCTTATGGAAAACAAATCTCAATCACAACTTTGATAAACCATAACATCACTTCCATGAAACTATATGAAAATGTTATTGTATTGAGCATATAGCAGGTTAAGCTACAATTAAGAATTCATGAATAATCCAAGAAAAACAATTTGATAGACGGATTTGTAAGCATAACCTTGTTGACAAAGTGGAGAAAATAATTTTTTCTTTTAAAAAAAGGAAAGAATAAAACTCTTGTCTGACATCGTCAGCACATCAGATATGACTTAGGAACCATGGAAACCAAGCCATTAAAGGTTGCTTGATTAATCTAGACAAGAAAATACACGATGGACCTTACGGTGAATTGGTAAACTAGCATACAAAATGATGGACACCTAATATTACCTATTATGTACATGTAAATGATAATTGTGAATCCATGGGAATAAATTAAATAGTGTACAACTCTAAAAATGGATGTCTTATTAGAGGGTTGATGCAAGGGCAATGCGCAAGAATGAATATCTCAAAAACTCAAAGGAAATATCAATTAATCATCAGATTTTGCAATACTTTTTATTCCTGGATTAACAGAAGTATAACAACTTGAGATTAAAGTTTAAAACGTAAATTGTAACCCGAGCCATGAAAAATGAAACAAGAAAAAAGAAATGGATATTAAATTGAACACTCAATAAGGACTCAATATATTCAAAACCCATTACATAATACCTTTCTGTGAGAGAAAATAATTAAGAAGCTTCACAAAGTAAAAAGATACTTGGGCCACTGATGAAGTTGTTTCTATGAGAAGTAACTGACCTGAGGTGTGGACAGCATCTCTGCATCATTCTTGTTAAGTCTCGGATGCAGAAGAACAAAATAAACTTTCCAGAAGTAACTGTCACTTATATGGCAAGGACAAAGCTCAATTCTCAGAGCTGCCAGTCTCGGAGCAAGATGTTCAATAGCCATAGAATGCTCTCGTTGGGTAACTGACATGTCAAAATCTAAAACAAGGAAACAAAGGAAACCAAAAATCAGAAATGCACTGATTGTCATTTTTGTAAATCTAGACATCATATATCATAAAAATAATCAAAATGAAATCTCAGAAATTACAACTAGAGTTGAAGCTTGTAAATCAAAATTAACTAGCCAAAGAGGCAAAGAATACATGAAGAATGTGTTAGATTGAGCAAGGATAATATAAAGCATTCTCCTGCATCTAAAATTCAAACATAGAAGGTGGATCTTGATCAAAATTGCAAACAGAAAAATAAGTTTCGGCCCAATCACTTGATGAGAGAAGCATACATTTATGCAATGGTTCAAACTTCAATTCAATAATGTCAAAGGCAGGAACTTCAGGGGCTGACACTTAGGTTATTAACTAAATTTACTTTAATAACAACGAACTCCGTTATTTTATGATCCGACATTGTCAAAGACTTTCAACAACAGATTCAATGGCTTAGATAATAAACTAAGAAAATAATGGTAGCATAAATTTGGCAATTTTACATAAGAGTAAAGATCTGAATTCAAACTATTCAGTGTTTAATTAAAATTCAAACAATATATAACTTTTTGATCAGTTGAACTTTAAACAATTGAACTTAATAGCAAGAATTCCATGGCAGAGCATATAAATAAACACCCAAATTATAGTACCATGCAATGAGATCAAATTAATAATGAATAATTAAAATATATAAACTTACCATCCAAGTCCTCATCTGGATCAAGAGGGAAATCCAGCCACGTTTCTGGGTGATGCGCGATGTTCCTCGCAAACGCCAATACCTCATCCGTTATCCCAACCGCATTGAACTCCTGATCCTCCTCCTCCTCGTCATTTTCATTTTCCATCTCGTTTTGGTCCTCATTTTCCCCCGATCCAAACGGAAAATAATCAGATGCCATCTTCGATAACCTTCCACCGATCTCAGTTAAATCGTCCATAATCCCCGCAGCCGCCGCAGAATCAGACGGATGCTCTTCGTCCCCGGAGAAAGATTGATCCGACGGCTCAGATTGATTCAAATTAGAGAACGATCGATTATTTGATTGGCCATTGAATTGCGCCGAAGAATGAGACGAGGGAGGAGGTGGCGGAGCGAGAAAGGAAGCGACTCCCCAGAGTTGGCGTGTTAGGGTTTGTTTGAGTTCGGTTAGGTCTTCTTTAACGCCACGCGATTGGAGTTCAGCTACTTGTTCGGGGGACAATGACTGTTGTTCCACCTTGGTTTCTTCGTTTTGAATCTTGTGCCTTGGAGGAGGCGATGATTGAGACTCGTGTGTTACGACGTCGTTTTCTTCATCCCCTGAAGAAGCTGATTCATTGTCACCGTCGTCGAGACGAAGCGAGTTCGCCAGCGACCGACCTAACCATGACATTGTTTTTTTTTTCCTTCTTATTTTATAGTTTTTAGTTTTTTGCTTTTTGGATTTTTGGGTGGGAGAGAAAGTGATGGATACAAAGCTTGGGGGTTTAAAAACGAATTGCTTTTATTTGTGATTTTCTTGTAAGAGTGGGGCAATCATATGGGTTCGGACCACCTTAAGCACAGATGCGGTCTGGATTTATGTCCTAAAGGTTATTGCCACGTAAGATAAAGGGCTTGCCACTGTTTTTCGTTTACTGCTGTCGCTGGTCCTGTTTTTAGGTACAGATTTCTTTTTCCTTTTGTAGTTTGTTTGTCTCTTTTGACTTTCCATATTCTTTCTCAAAAATGTCTCCAAAATCCAAAATTGTTTTTACTCAGGAAGATGGACTTTGCTTTTATTCTGGGCTTGAAGCTCAGGATGCTGGTGGGCTTTGGGTTTCCTTTTTCTCACTATCTCCTGGAAAAAGTTGACGGTTTGAATTTCACAAGCTTTGATGTAAAATCAGTTCGAAATAGCTGGGAGGCGTTAACATTTATTATGCAAGTTGGTCAACTCTAAAGACAATCAGCCACTTTCGGCTTGTTCTCAATCGAAATGTGGACTTAAAAGACCGGGCCCGGTTTGAGCTCAGACTCTAAGAACATGGCACAGCCAGGATTATAACTCCAACCAAGATCATGATTTAACTTTTTTTTTTGGGAACGAAGCGGCATGGATGGGTAGCACGGTCCAGAACATAAAAAGTGTGAGAGATCTTTTAATGAATAATAAATAGCACACTCCCAGTCCCAAGTCCCTATTCGAAGGGGAACACTGCATTTGACCAGATTCTAGTTTAGACTTGGCAAGTTGTTTGAGTTGATGCCAATGCGGCCAAAGGCTCCCAGCTAGCTCTACTTTTTAGGTAGACAAGATTTCCCTCCTTTTCCCACCCGCACAAATGTGTTTCTTTTGAATGGCAAAGGGGTATGACTGTGAATGCATTCATGACAACATAAGTGGAATTCAGGGCCCTCAGCCCCTTGGAAACCAGGATCTAATCATTCGAATGTTTATGTGTGCATGATCTCCAACCATATATTTTAAAGTATCCTCGAAGTTGAAGATCCTTCCAAACAGTATGGTTTCTTGATGTTGGAGAAACTATGTAAGGTTGTTCTTGACTTGACTCATTTGCTCCACCGAAGATCCAGCTTCCATGCTAAAACCTGAAGTTTAGGTATGCTAGTTGGACGTTGGAGACTCGCATGCTTGCAGCAATTACCAGTGCTACCTGCAGAGAAACTTCTTTTCAGCAAAAGACTCTCCTTCAAGCCACAGCTTACAGTTTGATTGAATGATGAGAAGAGTCCACCAGATTTTCTTTCTAAAAAGTAAAGACATGGTACCCCTTGACCACCTTTTATCTTGAAATTTTGGGGGAACGCTCTCAAATTTGCTTAACAATCTTAAAATCAAAATCCTTTAGAAAAAGATGAGTTTTATGTAGACAGAAGCATGTTTCAACTTAGGCAGATTGAATTGAGCAATTCAAATTGTTAACCATGTAAAGGAAACAAAGAGGTTGTACATGTTTTATATGATAGCAATCCAGAGGGTTTACAAATCCTACAAAGTTGAGATTTAAGACCCAAAATAACTCTTTCAACCAAGGTATAAATGTAAGCTTTCTCAAAACCTTACAGAGATGAAGGAAATCAAGGGATCAGTGAGACAGGTCTACCAACAAAAACTAAGTACAATTATAAATGACACAAATGCCAACAGGAATCCCCTCATATCATGTCCCTCAATCACCACTTCCCAATTCCTACTCGGCCCATTACATGAGCTTACAGTTACATTTCTCTCTTGTGGATTGAAACAACAAAGAATCAGTGACAAACAGATTGAATCACAACCTTGCTGGGAATTATTGGACAATATCGGCAGAAACATGACCTTAAGGGCAGTGGATTGGTAACTACACAACTTCCAATTAGCTCAAATCCACATTATGCTGGTACTTGATGTGAAACAATAATATAATGGAAATTCTTTAGTATTCACAAGAGAGCAAAGGGTACCTCAGAAACCCCGATTGACCTCATTATGAGTTCTACTAAACCGGAAGCTCGTCAGCCCCATTTTTAATATTGGACAAGACGAGAAAGTCCTGTATATCAACAAGCTGCTATTTTCCTTCATTGAATTGTTCTTGTAAGCTTACACTTGGAAATAAAGATGGTAGCCGTGTAATTTAGGCTACACAATTTCAACAACTCTGTTGACCGTTGCTTCAAAACAGGATTGTAACCACTCTGTATAACTAGAAGTAGCTTTGCAGCCAGACCTTCATCCACAGCAAGTGAAGCACATTCCTCCGGTGCAAACTTGCAAATGGTCCACAATATGGACAATGCAAGCTGAGTACAGGTTTCTGAAGCTTTCATCAATAGTTTCACCACATTCGGTATGGTATTCGGACAATCTTTCAAAGCCAATCTTCCTTCTGGAATACTTGACAAAAGCTCTAATATATAAAGGACTAATTCCAAACACTCATTATTCAAACCAGGCACCAACTCAACCAATTGAGGAACTGCCCCAACATTGACAAATGAGTTCCTAACTGATGCATGAGAACAGATTGTCTTGAGCAAAGTCAATCCAGCCAATACCCCATTTGGGTGCTTCTTATCTTTTACTAATCTCAACAACCCAACTAAAAGACTCAAACTTGCAACACTTTCTGACGCAAAATCATTCACTTCCATCAACATTCCAATCAACCTCGTACAGTTAATCTTGGTCTCAAACGACCCTTCATTTAAAATATCCACCATTAAAGATATTTTAGCAGGCTGCAACAAATCAGACTTGGAATTTAAATCAAGACTCAAGCTCACAAGAACTCCAATTACCTCTGACCCAACAGCATGAGTTGTAAAAGGACCTAGCAAAGATGAAATCAAACCAACGCCTCCATTTTCCACAACAATCTTCTTAGCTGTCCCATGAGCTTGAACCACTTGTCTAAGCTCCTTAAGAGCTTGAATTCTAGCTTGACCCTTAACTGTCTTCAAATTCTCCAAAATCTCTTTGACCCTTCCTTGCACATCCTCTGACCTCTTCTTCATAGCCAAGTACTTCTGAGAAAACCAACCATAAATTAGCTGCTGAAGTGTCTTGTTCGGAGTCACTGAATAATCCCAAAGCTCTTGCATCGTGGTGGGACAAGTGTAATGGCCTAAAGAGAACCATTTAAGAATGTTGGATCTCTCATAGGTTTGGCCAGTACAAAGAGTCACCGGGTCTTCCATTGGCTCCAAAGAAATTGGACATATGAAAACCGTTGGCACATCCGTGGACTCAAGCTCTTCAATCATTATCTTCAGATCCAATTTGTCTGAAACAAAACCAGTGGATATTACTCCACAACCGCCTCCCAAAATGCCATCTTTTACAGCCGTTTCTAGATCTAGAACTTGGCTATCAAGCTTCATGTCAGATTCTCTTCGACTAGATGGTTGGTACATTGGCATTTTTTAATACCCTTTTGCAAATGCTAATTGTAATGAGAGAATCTAACAAAGAGCCTTCTCTTTGTTTTTTTCCCAAAGAAAACAACGAGAGCTAGTTTACAAAAAAACTAGCCTTGAGGAACACATATCACATCCAGGAAGCAAGAAGCGTGCGGGAGAGAAAAATTGAAAGAGAGGAAAAAAAGAGAAGCAAGAGTAAGACTACTGATAAAGGCAGGAGTTTTGTTTTATCTCTATTTCTCGTCCTTTCTCTTTCATTGGCAAATCAGAAGTCAGAATGCCAACAAAGGGTACATCTTTTCTTCCCCATTCTTTTGCTTTTCATTGTTCTTTGCTGCTTTATCTGATCTCTTTCTTTGGTCAAAAGCAGTAACCTCCTCCTTCGTATTCTTCACTAATACCATCATCATCATCATCAAAGAATGATGACAAAAAAAATGCAATCTTCTTCCCTAATACCAAAGCTCTTTACTACTACTACTCAAATACCCTCCCTCTTCAAGACTCTTCAAAAAAAAGTGAAATCATCACAATCCCAGACCCAGATCAACTAAAAAGAAGAAAGTGGTAAAGAACATTCAAAGGTGAAACAAAGACGTCAAATTTGTATAGGAAAAAAGAAAAAGGACGAGATTTTTGGCAATAAAGATATGAAAGAAATGGGAGAATTTAACAATGCCTAGTTATAGAAGGACAACAAGAACTTTTCTACAAATGAAAACAACCAAAAAAAAAAAAACTCTGCCTTCTGCACAGTATTCTCTACCCCCGCTCTTCTTTTGGGCATGGCAAGAAAATAAATATTAAATTTTGGTTTTTTTGAAGTTTTAAAATTATTTATATTTTTATATTTCTTGGAAAAAGAAAGATTACCGGCGATTGACCGGCTGTAGGGAGTGAATTTTACCTATGGTGACTGTGCATCACACGTGCATTCATATCTTTATACACCGCTATATCCTGTTTCACCCGTTTATTTTATTATTATTTTTTTAAAGATTTTCAATTTCTTACATTTTGCCTTGAGTTTTGAACAAAAAGTTTTGCTTTTTAAATTTGACGGACTGATGGGTCCTAGGCTGCCAAGGACGCAACCTCAGTCTCACGGCCCAAAAAAGGGCAAATGATGTCGCCGAGGTGAATAATTACTACGGTGAGACCCCACATCACGTCCTTTTGTTTCCAAGTTCCATAATTCACAAGATACAACCTAAGTTGACCAATCAGATCGTGATGTTACCTTAAAATTACATTACTGTCCCCGAACATCAAATAACATTTTCAAAATTCAAATAACTTCTTCTTTTTTTTTTTTAATTCAATGCCAAATAAATCTATTAAATTTAGATATGATAGTTTGAAAAACAACATGACAACAAGATATAGAGATAACATTAAAAAAATATTAAAATTATATGAAAATTTTAAAAATACTCACATATGAATTTAACTAAAATTTTAAAAATATATTTTATATTTAATATATTAATACGAATTATAATGTAATAATTTTTTTATATATAAAATAAATATAATATAAATATATAAATTATCAAATTTGCTTAAATTATTCATGAATGTGTAATTTTTTTCATTCATTTTATATCAAATTTACATTGCAAATAACGTAAACTAAAAGTACCTAATGCTGAAATTTAAAGAAAATATTGTGTTAAGACAAAGAAATTAATTGAACAACATAATTTTTTGTTAATAATTATTTAAAACTAAAAAAATACACTTTAATTTACGGAGGAAGCTTAACCTTGAATTGTTACCTTGACGTCTATTATCATTTTAATTAAAAAAGTAACCTCTTGCTAAAACATCTATGTTAAGTCGTATTATGTAGCTATTTTGTTATAATACGTAGAGGATAATATTCTTTTAATTTCAAAATTTTCTTGCAGTATTTGTGTATCACATCTGCTGCAGATCCATATTTTTTAAAAAACATCTATTTATAATATATATATAAATTTATTAAATTTATCGATAAAAAAAAATTTAGGAGTGTTTAGAATTTTTTTTAATTTTATAATTTTTCGAGTGTTTATGTTAAAGTATATAAGTTATAATAATTATAATATAATTAATTAATTATAATTTAAGTTTATATGAAATCCATCAATAATTGATGTAAAAACTACATTTATTTGCATAAACCTTTTTTTTAATTAAACAATTATAATATTATAATAAAAAAATTATAAATAATATACTTCCTTTCCTTGCAGACTATTCCGCAATGCAGATCCGCCACTGTGTTACATGCAATATTGACCTAATATTCCAAATGGGGGGCAGACTTGAAATTGGAGGAAGCATTGGAATGCAATACACGTTTCGTTGGGCCCGCCAAGAGGAGATGGGGACCTCATAACCAACCTATACCCATTTTAGAAAAAAAAATGAAAACAGCGACAAGATTATTATCAGGCTTTTTTTCCATATGCAACTGATATTTGTAAGCAACATAAGGAAATTTTAGTAAAAGAAAAAAACGTAACATGAGATAATTATTAGAGCCTGAAATCGAAAAGTCATTTGAAAACAAAAAAAAAAAAACCTAAATTCATCAAACTTTAATTTGATAAAAAAAGTTAAAGATTCAAATTTAAATTTAAAATATACTTAAACTAAAAAAAATACTAAAATAATTATATCTTTAATAAAATCTAAAAAAATAATCTGATTAATTTAAATTCAAACTTAATCAAAACTAAAAAAAAATCAAATTAAAATTAAATTATATTCAAAATGACTCAAATAAAAAAATCATCTTATTCGAATCCATCATTTTACTATTTCTAATAATTATTAGTAATCACTGACAAAAAAGTAATTAATTAAGGGAACACTTCAATTGTCTTAAAAAAGTGATCCTAATTCCTAAATAGATAAATTTAGAAAGAGGAATGTAAAGCCCTCGTGGGGTGGGGGGCCCAGGAAGAGCGTGCCTTAGTTAAAGTGCCAGCTGGGGTTTTGACCGGTTGCGGGGCCTTTGGATATTCTAATTTTGGGGTGCTTTTTCTGGTCTTTGGTTTGACCACTTTGATTAGCGCTCTCATGCACTTTGCTTCCGCTTTGTCCATCACACCACACGACACGTGCTTGTGGGAACCGTGCATCTCTGGCTCCATGCCACTTTTGCTTTGCTTTAACTCGTTAATTGGACATTGCTGCTTTTATAATGTAGTACGATTATACCAAAGATAGTGGGAAATTGAGACTTGACCTTCTTCCAAGAACCAATACAAGTGATAAGCTGGCTCGTCTTGGACTTTTGCTCAAGGAAACATAGTTTTTTAGACTCCTAGCCCAAGGTAGACAGACTACTGGAGTCAAGTCTAAAGCAGGTGTGAGGCCCAAGTCCATGTGCCAAGCCTGCTTGTTTTTTTTTTTTTCAAAACAAAATATAGCATAAAAATAGTAAAAACAAATGTTGAAATTTGAACAGCAATGGATTAATGGGAAATAATAAGATTTTTATGAATACTTCATAAATAAAAAAATTGAAAAAATATTTTTAAAATTTGAAAATTTTCTTTTGTACTTTTTTTTGACAATTAGTAATTCATTGACAATATAAATATATATATATATATATATATTATAAGTAAACATAAAAAAAAAATTAAATCTGTTATCCCATTGAATCTCAATCCTACTAAATTATCTTTTAACCGGTTACTACATGAAATCATGAACAAAGATAAACTCGGGATTCAGCTTGCTATTTTTCATTTGGCAGCTAATAAAACTCGAATCATAAACCCCGAATTGAATCAATGCAGTATTTGCTCATCCTTTGGAGCAATTAGACCCAAAGGCCAAAGCTTTCATGTTCTCTACGTAGGCTATTTAAATAGAAAAGAAACAGAGAAAAACAAAATATTTCCACCGAAATAGGTAGTGGTGAAAAGCTGCAGTTGCACCAAAATGCAAAACGAATGCTAGCTTTTTGTCATTATCTATGGTATTTTGATTGAACAATAGAATATCTAAAAGTTTGTGCTGCTGTCCAATTTGGAGACTGAATTGTTTGATTGTTTGTGGTCTATGCAAATTGGACCTCGGCATGGGAATTGATTGAAGAAATTTCCCCTACTATCTCACCAAGTGCAACATTATCTTCAAGTATCGAAGTGTGAGAAATCCCACTGATTCTTATTACCTTAAGTGGTTGGCTTTTGTTGTCAGCACCGCATATTGACTCGAGTGCTAACAGGCTCACCAAGTTCACTGTCCCGTCTCCATCCCCATAAACTACCTCTGGCTCCTCATCAAACCCTGCTTTCCCGTAGAACAAAGTCTCCGGAGTCTTCACACCTGTCCCAATTATGCATGTAACAGAAACATTAGGAGCGGTTAATGCTTCAGTCAAGGGGAGGATTCTTGATTTATAAGGAATCACCCCTTCTGGAAATCCAATGTCATTCAAAAATTGTGGGATGTCATGAGCTGAATAAGCCTCGTTTGGAGTAATAACAAGAACTTTTCCAGGATCAAATAGCTTAGGAGAAGGCATGAGCCAGAGGTTACTTTCGGAGCTCCTTTGTTCTCCCCTCACAAGCAATGGATTAACCAGAGGCACTCCAAAAGAACTCCCAGAAGCAAAAGTGAGCATTTCTTGAACTGTGCCACCCCAAGGAGCTGAAAGTGCGACAAAGTGTTTGATAAATCTTCGAAGCCAAGAGGGTGAATTTCGGTTGAGAAGTTGGAGTACGTACAGGCCTCCTAAGCTGTGGGATAGGAGAATCACTGGCTTCTCTCCATTGGAAGCACTCGCTTTTTCTATCAAATCTTTTAGGTCTTGCAAGAACTTGGAGCCCACATGGGATGGGTGGCCTTCAGCTGCTAACCCGTATCGAAAGTCATATGGAGCTCCAAACAAGTTTTCACCACTAACATAACCAATCTCTTCCAGGGACTCTACCAACGGTGCCATGTATGCTGTGAAGTGCCTGCACATAGCAAGAATTTTTTGTCAAACACCCAAAATAAAGCTTTACAGCCAAGAATTGCAATGAATTGAATTAAGTCGTCTCATTCAGAAATAAAACTAATAGCTACAACAAAGTTACTTGAGATTAGGGTCCAGGTAAAGAAGGGGCTCAGTAGAGCCAAATTCAGGCACCCTGGTTTCAACCCCTGGAGCATTGCGGTAATCATCTAAATCGGGGTCATAATAAAGCATCATACGTTGAGCAAAGCACATGGTGAATGGACCCAGTAGCACACTGGGGTCGAACCATAGTCTGAACCATCCTTCTTTATCCTTGCAAAGTGGGTACCACCGGTCACATAAGAGGTTCAAGGGCTTGTAACCAGTTGTTAGCCGCGCTTCGAGTTGGTTACCGCCGCTCCCTGGTACCAGGATCACAGGGTGAAGGTTGGTGATTGCTTTACATATGCACAGCATCGTGACAATTGGAACTATAGCTAACTTGATGCTTAGTCCATTCATTTCCCCTTTTCTGGTTTGTTTCCTTATCCGTTATCTAGTTGCAAACTTGCAATCGACCTGGGCAGTGTTAGGATGGGCAGAATTTTTTGGAGTAATAATTATGTCATGGCCTAAACATCGCCACAAGCAATAAGAGGTGGAGACTGTGTCCACGTCGTCACGTTTCTGGTTTGAGTCATATGGGGATAATAGTATAGTTAAATACTATTGAACTGTCTCCCTCTTGCTTTTACTGTATATCTTAGAAAAGAAATGCAGCAGGGGAGTTGAATCATGATTCATGAATCTTTGATGCATTGCAAATGTCGTAACCTATATTCTTTAAACAATATAACCTAAAAATCATACTTTTCTCATGATTGCAGTCTGAAAGAGAGGGGTGTTGATTGTTAAATTGAAGAATATACATAAAAATTAAAATACAAGACATTGGCCCAACTTACACAGAATTTTGAGCATTTACGCTTTCAACAATTCTGCAAGTAAAATCTATTAAATTGAAGCATCATCTATTAGAACAGAAAGGATTTACTGACTTTTTTTTTTTATTTTTATAAAAAGAATGGTTTACAAGCATGGTAACTGGTAAGCACCTAACCAACCTAAACCTCTTCATAACTTCCCAAGTTACCTGCATTTGCAAGAAACATTTCATAGAGTTTTTAGCCTTTGGACGATCTGTGGGATTTTCTTCAGCACAACGATGGAAAACATTAATAAGGAATCAAGTGACTTGATTTCAGATGTTGGTCTGTCCAACTCTTGAGATATTGCAAACTCATCCAGCGATAGCAATGCCTCCAGTTCATCAGTTAATGGAGGTCGTTTGCCCATTTGAATAAAGTCATGCATTTGATCGTCAGATAGATCAAAGTACGGAACTTGCAGAGTCTATAATTCATAAATCGGATATCCATATGACCAAAATGTTCACTTCCAGTCCATATAAATCAGGCTTGAGCATTGTGATTAAAGCTTCTAGAGCCAACCACCTAGGAGTTCCAACACAAGCATTAGGAGGATGTATTCCTATAGGAGCAATACAACATTTATGCAAAGAAAGATAGAAGATAGAGCAGCTCTGTTGAAATCACAAAAAGCTTGATAAAAGGTGTTCCATCTGCTCTCCTCTTATCCAAATCAATCAAAATATTGTGGCTTTTTATATCCTGATGAATAATGTTTTTAGAATGTATCAATGCTAATGCACATGCAACATTGTGAGCAATAGACAATGCCAAATCCATGGGAAATGTTTCTCACCAGCTGTCAACAACTTCTCCATTTGGCACTTCAAGGATTCACCTTTCACATACTTGATCAAAATAGCAGACTGTATTATGTGATGCTCAGGGCTTTCATCCACTGAAGGATCCCACTTGAAAGATGTTTGACATCCATACAATTCTACAATGCACGAGATGCAGGACCGGTTTCTAATTTCATTCACAGAAGTTCCATGTAGATCTAGTGTACGCACCTTTGCAGCTGCCTCAAATGATCCAAAGGAGCACATGATAAGGGAAGCATTTGGCGTCTTTTCAATGTTTTCACTTGTGGAGAGGCAAGGAAAACAATCAGGGTCAAGACTGCGTCCACTTGAGAGAAAATCTTTGGTCCGAGCCAAGGGAACGTACCGGCAAAAATATTCTCGATCCATCTCTTCTCTTATGTCATGGGCATGGCATGCAACAACTACCAAAGCTCACAAGGCACTGGTGGCTCCATACGATCACTAAAATACTTCATGAGCACTGCTCTGTGTCTACACACACCAAACTGCATAGTTCCTATAGGAACTATGACAGAATTCCTTCTTGACTTGGTAGAATATAGTACTATATATCTTGTACTGTATCAAAATTCCATTTGCTAGAATCATTTAAACAGTAATTGTTTCCAGTAGCATAGCTGCAAACAAAGGGCTTTTGATGGTTTGATCCAGACACTACTTTTCAAGTCCTTTCAATGGAAGAACATCTATGACTGCTTCCAAAATGATCCAATATAAAAATGCAAGTAATTGGGCAATCTTAATCTATTGGAATCAGTTCTCCATTTCTGGCTGGGCATTATCATCAAGATAACAATTGTCAGGCAACAGTATGTCATGCAACTACTGTTGATAAACCTTTCTCCTGGTCAGAAATTCCGTCCTGTTATCATAGTCCTTTTTGCCCTATTTTGCAGAAACATAACCCAGGCATATGCAATTTTCTCCAGAGGCTAAATTTTCCTCCACTGCATTTTCGCCTATAAATGAATTTTCACTCTCACCCTTATCATTCTCATCACCATTGAGATCTACCATGACCAACTCACTTTCTGCACTAGTTTCAGAGCTAAGAAATGCATGTTCACGATGCCCTTCACCTGTCAACTTCTTAATGTTTCTTAACTTGTCTCATCGTGCTTACCAAAACTCAAACTCTGAGATTCAAATCCTCTTTTCCCTGACTCACTCAACATATCTGATGAGGTATTGTCTCTAGGGCAGTCACCAGAAACACTCACTTCTTTCTCTCCAACACTCTCATATACATCCATTCCAAATCACAGCTTATCCATTCGGTTATTTGAATTTGATAACAAATCACAATTTTATTGTACCCAACATTCAAATCGTCAAGCCTATGTATTGCCTCTAATTCTAGTGATCCCAAAGAAGTTAATATATTATTGGACAAATCCGAGTTCTTTCATCTTATTCAACTTAGATAAACGAGCAACTTTTAAAGTGATTAACTCATTCAAATTACTAACTTCAGAAGGAAAATTCTTGGTTTTATTAAAAGAAATATGGAAAGAAACTCCAAATTTATTAAGTATGCAATCTCGGAAGAAGGTGCCTGAAGTAGCAAAAAATTGAGTCTAGTCAAGTCATTCGAGCGATCTCAGTCAAAGCAGTTAAACTCGAAGACCGAGGAGGAGTTTCACTCAGTTCGAGCTCCTTCAATCAAAACGACAGGCCGCCTAATCCCGGCGAAGAAAACTTCATCTGCAAGGACTGCAATTTTAACAAAGACCCAACCTCGAATGGTAATAAATTAAATTCCTTACCGAAGATTTTCAAAGTTTTTCAAATTTCCAAAAAACTCGGCTACAGTTCTGGGAACCAAATTAAAAACATTCTTATATTAATATAGTCCTCGACGAAAGAATCAACCTTCCCGTCGGAATTGTTTAAGAAAGAGAATTCTACGGTTTTTACCAAAACGTCGAACACTTTTTCGCTGATATCTTCCTCAATCCACGAAGCCATTAGAGTTCAGCAACGGATGGCAGCCAACGCCGGTGGAACAAGGCAAAGACTTAACAAGGGAGATAACCGGAGTGGACCGTTACGACGACGGGTTTGTTTTATAAGGCAGCTCATATATCAATCACCATTGGGCCATGCAATGGATTTTAAGCAATCCTTTCTATGCCCACAGGGCTCAATCACAATTTATAAAATTTGTGAAGTCTTCAACTGAATTTGATATCACGACTCAAATGATACTAATTTAATTGTGAAAATATAAAAAATCAAATAAAATCATAATATCAAAAATAAAATAAGATATTTATGTTTTTAAATATTTTATATAAATATATTTTTAAAAAGTTATCTACTTATTTTAAAAAAAAACTATACATTTTTCCATAAAAAAATCTACTCACTTATAAAAAAAACCTATCCACTTTTTTTACTTATAATTTTTTTCAAAAAATATTATTTTTTCACCCATTAAGTGGGTGTGTCAATTTCTAATTATTAGTAACATGAGAATGAATTTAGTGTCATTGAGTCGAGTGACATCAAACTCATCAGGGGATATTAATCTTTCAAAACTTTTTAATCTTGATATGGTGCTAGATAAGACGATAATAAACATTAATTAAAAATGTTTACTAGCTTTCACTTTCCAAAATCAAATTAAGTTAGGACATTTGGATTTAAGTACATAATTTTTTTAATTTGATTCGAGTCATTAAGTAATTGAATATGACCCACGAATTTTTCATTTAAGTTAAAAAAAATAAATTTACAGCTCTTTTTTAACAAAACAGATGTTGACTTAAATGATAAGAATTGTCAAACACTTACATGTATATCAAGATAATTTTTTAAATTGTTTTTATAAAAAAATAGTAATTTAAAATAAAAATTTATAGATATTAAAATTTAATTTTAAATTTATAATGTTATTTTTTAAAATTGATTATATAAATTAATTAAATTTTTTTTATTTTTTATTATAAGATAACGTAGTAGGATTTCACAATGTGAAAGCAATTTGACAATGAAGACTATTTTTTTTTTTTTTATGATTATTGACTTAAATTTTAATAAATGTCTAATCACTCTGTACACCTAAGCAAAGGGAAAAGTAGGAACCAATTTCGCGAGCGTTGAAAATAAAGCTGTCACGTGAATGTTCATATTACATTTGAATTGCATTTATTTATTTGGTAACTTTAGTTTAGTTTTTTCATCTAAAACATATTTTTTCAAAGGGTTTAATAAAAACATTTGAGACATAATTTAATTAGTTTGTCTAATTATTTTTTTTAAAAATAATATTTAATAAATTAAAATTTTTATATTAAAATTTTTTTATATTTCTAAATTACAATCTCTTTAAAAAATAATTTAATAAGAGTCAAATACTTTTGTTGCACCAAACAAAAGTTTCGTGAGGAAACTAAAAAAAAATAAATCGTAAAAAATTTATCTAAAGATTAGAAAATCCAAAAATAAAAAACGTTTTTACTCTCATTTTAAATAGAGTTAATTATATTTTTATTAATTGAATTTTAAAAAATATAAAATTTGGTATTTAAAAAATAAAAAATAAAATTTATATTTTAAAAATTTAAATAATATAACATTTTAGTCTAAATTTTAATACTATTAATTCAACTTACTTCTGATATTTAACCAATATAAATTTGTTGTATACATATTTTTGTTAAATATTTTATAAAAATCTTATGTAGATATTACGTGATAAATAATAATTGATCGATTTCTTAGACAATTTTTAAGATTCAAGTAAAAAAAATATTTTTAGATCATTTTATTGAAAAAAATATTTATAGTATGTGTGGTGAATAAATAATTTGATAATATTTATCAAATTTCACATATATAAATTAATATAATTAGTTAGATTAAAATTTAGGTTAACATGATATATAATTTGAAAATTTTAATGTAAATTATACATTTTATGAAAGTTCAAGATGTGAATTGTTCATTTTATTTTTAGATATTGATTTATATATTTTTTAAAAAATTTTAAATGCTAAAAATATAATTAAGTCTTTTAAATATTGTTATTTATCAAACAAGCATAAAGCATACGCAATAAATAGATAAACAGTTATCTTGTCAACAAAACATTTAATTATTTGGACATTTGGAACGTTTTTGATGGCTCGATGTCGGTGTTGTCCGAAATTCCATCTTCTTTTCTGAAATTGAAGGCTTTTTAATTAATGATGTGAGGAGAATAGTAAAAGAAATTAAACCTTAAATTTCAATAATCATCAAAGTGTAATATTGGACCGCTCTTAAAAAGTCATGCCTAACCAACGACACAATTTTATGTTCTTATCCTCCATTGCTAGATATTTTAAAGAATAATTCTTAAAAAATATGTTATGATTATTAAACTATATTTTTATATGCAAATGCATGCTCAAGAGTTTTAATTCCGTGAATTTGATTTTGTCGGATTTATCTTGAAATATTTATTTAACTTTATGGAACTTAACCACAATCATAAAATTTAAATTGAAATTAGATTATTTAATTGAAATATTTAAAATATATATATATATTTATTATGAGTTAAAAATTTGTCATTATAAATTTCATAATAACTTCTATGAAATTGAGCTTTTAACATTAAAATTCAATGCTCAAAACTTTTATATTTATAAAATTATCATGATCATAAAGTAAAGTGGACTCAAATTTATTAACACACCTATATATATATATAAATTTAACTTTTGGACAGAATTGAATCAGAATGATATGATGTATGTGTTATATAAATAGTTATATATAGATTGGAAATGGAAGTAGGTGAAAATTCTAATTACACTGATAAATGTTATCTTTTTATATATAAAATTTTTTTATAGGTCCCCTATCATATATTCTCCTTATCCTAATCCGACGATCCATTTAATCCTTGAATTAGGCTAGGTAATAATTTAATATTGAAAGTTTAGAGGCAAACCTTCGACTTATTTGTTAGCCTTCGCTTTCATAAAATAAATAAATAAAACATTTTTGAACAAAGAAAAATTTAGATGAAAATTTTCTAAGTGAAGTTTTATATTAAAAATATTCAATAAAAATTAAAATTAATAAATTAAAAGATTTTGTTATAAAAATTAAGTGTATAAAATAAAAAAATAATAAAAAATAATATATTTTTTAAATAAACATTTTTAATAAATATATATCAAAGTTAAATTATAAGAGATTTTTTAATAATATTTTTATATATTATTAATATTTATATTAATTTATTAAGTTGTTAATTTAAATTTTTAATTAATATTTTTATTAAATAATTAAAAAAAATCACAAATTTCATCTTAAAAAAACTTCCCATAAATTTTGTTCCTCCCCGCAGAGCTGGTAGAAAATTAGGCCAAGAGATGGGAATGGATTAGAACCAGCACTGTGGGTTTCAACTTTGACAATTGAAATTTAAGCTGTCGACACTTTTCGGCAGTCAACTTCACCAATATACGGCGGCTTATTTGTTTAAATGCCCTCCACACTCCACCTATTTGTTCTTATCTAATGGTTTTGTTCAATCCTGCGTGCCTCGGAAAAAGTCCAAATCCAATAGCATCCGGTGGTCCTTCCAATGTTTGTTTCTACTCAACCACCTTAAAAGGCTTCCTACTAAATTTCCTCAATAAACCCATCCTACTAAATTGCCTAATTCTTCTTCTATCAAGCATTTTTTTTTTATTGTTTTGATCCAAACCCCATCTATATTTTTTGATCAGTTTCCAATCATTGAATCTCTAGACTTTGTATATCAACTTGCAGAAATGAGAAGCAAAGGACATGGCCAAAACAAGTTCGTGCGGTTCATTACAGTTCCTTTTAGAGCGTTAGGCAAAGCTAGGGATCTTTATGTTAGAAGTTTGACAAGTTGTGCTTCAAGTGTCAGTTTCGGACAAGGCTCGGGCGACTACACAGGGCAATACTCAGGCTTGCCGAGGAGTTTTAGTGCAAGCTCAGCAATATCTAATGACAATGAAGATCTTAGAGAGCTTATTAGAGCTGCATCTGTTAGGAGCTTGGGTCATGAGAATGAGATTGAGATGTTTTTGCAAGAGCAATTGAGACAGATGAGATCAAAAGGGTTGCCAAAGAGTTGCAGCGTGGGGATGGGTAGAATTGATGAAGACAAGCCTTGTGAATTTGAAGAAAATGAAGCTGCTGTTGTTGAAAAGAAGAAGCAAGATTTTTTGTATCCCAGAAGCAAAAGCTATGCTGTCACAAAAAGAAGTGTTTCTTTTGATTCCTACTGATTCTGTAATTGCATATAAAGGGAAGTAAAAGAAGCTCTCTTTTCTCTCTCTTTATTGTTTCACTTTTTTATTGTTTTGAGATCTTTTTTTTTTTTTTTACCAAGCTGTTTCCAGTTCTGGTAGTATTGTTAATGGAATTGTTTGCTTTCTCTCTTTTGAGACAATAAACACCTCCAAAAGAATCAAATACCATTACTACTATAATTTAACCCCATCCATATCCCCAAAATGGATGAGGCACATTTTCTATCATACTTTGTAATTTGTGTATATATATATATATATTTATTGAAGTCTAGCAGAGCAATGATGGCCTAAAACCCAGACACATAATTGATTTGCCCCATCAATCAAAGGTAAGGGATTGCGGGAAACAATTTGACAGTTCAGGTTCAATGCATCAGCAGCAGATCGTTTCTCTTTCAGTTTGATGGAATTTCTTTGCAGATAGAATGAATCTTCACATCTTTGCTGTTGGGAGAAGCACAATTAGTCTGATTTAGAAGGAGACTATTGGATTTCATAATCAGTGCATTGTGAGGTGCCTAACTGTAGCAGAATTGGCAGTGTCTGAAGCCTTAACAGAATCCATTGCATTGCCAAAATCAGAGGCCTTAGCCCTCAGAACATAATAAAAAATAGGGCGGCAGCTGCAAATACCAATAAGCTGTTAGCTTATTGATACTGCATTGGTTCCAGAGCGTAAGGTTTCGAGTTCAAACCTCAATCATAGTCCAAAAAACAGAAAAAACAACATAGGAAAAACATTGAATCAAGCAATTTCTATCACTAGTCTGCAGAGTTAAAAGGGTTCCAAATATAATACTTTTCTCTTCTATTCTTTGTTTGTGTACGATTTTTGTTTCTTTCTTATTCATGTTTTAACTAGCTATTACAACTTGAATGGAAGGTTATCAATGATGACTTAACTTTGGGAATGATTTAATTAATAAAAATGGGAAACATACTTAACGTGCACAAAGCAAATTTCAAATTTCTGCATTGTTTAGTTTGGGCCTTTGAAGCTCAATGGCTTGTATATAACTACGGGCTAAAAACATCAATCTCATCAGCTGGCAATGGCCTGTGACGAAACGTAAAATTCAGAAACATAAAAAGCAATCCAAATCACCAAAGCACCCCCATATCTTTAAAAAATAACAAACCATGCACTCAAACCGACTAGGCAGGCGACACAGACGGAAGACAGAACAGAAACACTTCCCAAAAATCGCATCATCGTCCCTTCACGTCACCAACTTCAACGATCTTCAGTTATTCAGTGTTTTGTCTGACCATCCATTATCCCCATTTTAGTTCACTTCGCGAATAACTCATTACACTACTCTCACTAGTAAAAGGAACCAAAATCTTCGTGCTACCCCAATTAGATGGGGGCAGAGAAAGGGAAAGGAACCAAGGTGTCAGATATTCAGGACGAAGATGACCTCGATGAGGAACCTGGAGAGGTAATCGAATCAGCTCCGCCTCTCAAGGTCGGTGAGGAGAGAGAGTTCGGTAGTTCTGGTATCAAGAAAAAGCTGCTAAAAAACGGTATCTCTTGGGAAACTCCTGAGTTTGGAGACGAAGTAACCGGTAATTTCATTATATTTAATTTAAAAAAAAAATTTGGACTTTAATTTTAAAGAATTTTCTTTTCCCTTTTGGAGTTATTTTGAGCTTTTGAGTAAAGGGTGACCATAACTGCGCAGTTCATTACGTGGGTACTTTGCTTGATGGGACAAAGTTTTGTTCCACAAGGGATAATGATGAACCATTGACTTTTAAGCTTGGTGAAGGTGAGTTTTTGATGGTTTTATCTTGATGGAGTTGCTTAATTAACTGTTTTATGCTTAATTTTTGTTTTAATGGGGTTTGGTAGGTCAAGTGGCAAAGGGTTTGGATCATGGGATTATAACTATGAAGAAGGGGGAATGTGCATTGTTCACATTGCCTCCTGATTTTGGTTATGGAGCTGAAGGTCGTGAGGGCGTGCCACCTGATTCAATTATACAATTTGAGATAGAACTTCATTCGTGGATCACAGTGGTGTATATATGCAAAGATGGTGGTATTATCAAGAAGATTATGGAGAAGGGAGAGAGCAATGAACGGCCTAGTGATTTAGATGAAGTTCTCGGTACATTGAACTCTTAAATAGTGCAACTTTATTTTCATTTTTTTCTTTGTTTTTGAATTGATTAATGTCGCATCAATTTAAGTATTTACATATATCGGAGGTGAATAACTATAGCTGTTATTTTCTTGCCTTTCTTTATACAGTAAAGTATCAAGCGGCGCTTGTTGATGGGACTATTGTTGCAAAAACTCCCAGAGAAGGAAATGAGTTTTATGTGAAAGACGGTAATTTAAGTTGAATATTGAACTTTTTTGGCTGTTGGGAATAGATATAATACTTCTCATAAATGGAAGCTTTTGACATGTTTTCTGTGTTTTTTCAGATCATCTTTGTTCAGCATTGTCAAAAGCAATCATAACAATGAAAAGGGGAGAGAAGGTTAAGCTAATTGTTCAACCTAAGTGTATGTTACCATTTGATTATTGGTTTCCTGTGATTCAAATCTTGATTGACTTTTATTCCTCGAGAACTGTACTTTCAAGTTTTACAGTGTGTAGAGTTCAATGCAGATGCTTTTGGAGAGAAAGGGAGGGATGCTACTGATGGGTTCCCAACTGTTCCACCAAATTCAGTATTGAACATTGAGTTGGAGTTGGTCTCTTTCAAGTCTGTTATTGATGTTACTGGTGATTCTAAGGTATTCAAAAAGATTTTGAAAGAGGGAGAGGGTGTTCTTGTTGCAAATGAAGGTGCAGAAGTAACTAGTAAGCATACTCACCCATAACAATATCTTATCAGTGTTTTTCCAAATCAAATTAGATTCAGAAGTAGTGGAGGTCCACTTTCCACTTAGATCTTGAATGGGATTGATACTGGATGGTGCAGGAACTCTTGATGATATCTAGAAAAGATGTATGATATGTCAATGATAAATTGGATTCTCTGAAAGCTGTGTTTTGTTTAAGCATTGAGCTTATGTTTATGCTTGCTCTTTCAGCAAGAAAGAAAATTTGACATGAAAAAGTAAATGCCAACTTTGTCTGGGAAATTCTTGCAAGCAAATCTACTGAAATTTGGGATAAGTTAATGTTTCATCAAGGTGACTCAAACAGTATATAATATCATGAGCCCATGGCCTTGCCGAATTCCTATGCTCTAATTTTTTCTTTCCTAGTGCTTCTTCTATAATTACTTACTCTGGATCTGCAGTTAGCTATATGGCTAGGTTAGAAGATGGTACTATATTTGAGAAAAAGGGAGTTGATGGAGGGAAGCCATTGGAATTTATCACAGATGAAGGTTAGTTTACCCTTATATTGCAAATTTGCTAGATTGTCAGTAAGAAACTTTGGATCAGCTCTAACTGGTTTATCAATTTGACAAATAGAACAAGTGATTCTTGGTTTGGACCGAGCGGCAGCAACAATGAAGAAGGGAGAACAAGCATTGTTGACAATCAGTCCTGAGTATGGCTTTGGAAGTGTTGTGGCAGAACGTGATCTTGCAGTAGTCCCACCTTGTTCAAACCTAATCTATGAAGTTGAAATGTTGGATTTCATTAAGGTGACAACCATAGCCCTGTAGACTGGTTAAACATGACAGCTCCTTGAGTCCTTTAGTGCTTTGTAGCACGTAATTCCATAGGGGTTGATCTTTATCTCTGGTATGTTGGGTTCAAATTGTCCTCAATGTTCTTGATATATCATCCATGCATATTATTGGTTCTTACCTTATCCCAAAAAAAAAAAGAAGAAAGGAAAAGGATCCAGACATTTTATGTATTGCTACTTACCAAGTTTTTTGTTTATTTATAATAAAACCAAAACATGATCTATCTGATATGAGTTCATTAGAATGAAGCTTTTTATGTCTGTCAGGTGCTGAAGTCAAAAGGTGATGATATTATCTACTGACATTTGCATCTGCTTAATGAATTTAATAGGATAAAGCCCCATGGGAACTGAATAGTCATGAGAAAATTGAGGCTGCAGGGAAAAAGAAAGAAGAAGGAAATGTGCTATTTAAAAGTGGGAATTATAAACGTGCAGGAAAAAAGTATGATAAGGTAATCTAAAGCATACTTTCTCTCTGATTAAAATATGGAGTCCACATTGTATATTTCAAAACATTATTTTCTGCTATTTATCCTGTATGGTCAGGCTCTGGACTGTGTCAGTGAAGATGGACCCTTTGGGGATGATGAGCTAAAGCTAGTGAAAGCACTAAGGATTTCTTGCTGGTTAAATGGTGCAGCATGTAGCCTCAAACTAAGTGATTTCCAGGGGGCAATCAAATTATGTTCCCAGGTGAGTTGCCAAGCAGCCAACACAAATCTATAGAATTAAAATGGCCAATGATTCCCTCTTTAGAATGGTAATAAATATGTCTTGGAAACTGGTCAGTGGAGCATGAATGGCGGAACTTACAAAAATCGACCTTCTCTATGTGCAACCTCTCTTTTCCATTGGAATTGGGGGATTTACTTCTGCACCACTTATATATTCACTTTGGGCTGTCTATTATATGATTAATAGTAAAAGAGCTCTCCAAATTGGAAGGATGAAATCCCTCCATTTTTTAAAAAAAATTTATATCCAGCATTGAAAGATAACCTATTAAATTTTACTCGGGATGATTAGTCGGAAAAGAAGTGTCTTCTTTATTCTAAGGTTTCATCTTCCTATAGGTACTAGATCTCGAGTCCCACAATGTGAAAGCTCTATATAGGCGGGCACAAGCCTATATGGAAACTTCAGATTTAGTTTCAGCTGAACTGGACATCAAAAAAGCTCTCGAGGCAGATCCCCAAAACAGGTAAAGGTGGAATTTATAGAGTCCAAATTTCCAATATGCATGTTCATTGTATTTTCCAAATTGCTGCAATGTTAATTACTTTTGCCAGGGAGGTGAAGCTACTTCAGAAGACACTGAAACAACTCCAAGTTGAAAGCAACAAGAGGGATGCTAAACTCTTTACAAACATGTTTGCACGAATGTCGAAAGACTCGTATGTGCCCATGAAGGTGAGTGGTGCTGCTGCTCGATCACCGTCAAAGATTTATATCTTTAGGGATATTATTCTGAATTAATTCCGTTACTTGCATCCTTGATGAACTACATGTTATACGTTGTTTGTCAATGTACATTGAAATGAATTTCTTTGAATACTATGGTAGAAATTGAAGGCTGAGAAAGCAGAGCATGAGAAGAGTGAAGAAGTCGAAGCAATGGAAATGGAATGTGCTGGTGATAGTTCGACACCTTCCGGAGATAGAATGGCTATTGATTGGAGTTGAGAAAATGTATTTTAATACAAGACGTAACCCAACAATCCAAGTTTGAAATAGCACTTCATATCTCTCTAACAAAAGGTTGAGGTCTACTGTTCAAATCAGTACCTCCCCCTTGGCCTTGCTTACTTGTAAGTCATACCACGAAAAGAGAAAGAAAAAACAAGTATACCCAATGTTATATTGTCAAGTCTTGTGACCTGAAAGAAACAGGGATGAAAGAAATGAAATGATGATCCCGGTATAAACAGGTGACCAGTACTGTTTTCATAGATTTCATAATATTCATGACATTGAACCTTAAGTAAAATCTTCCACCGTATCTTTGTTTGTATGTGTGTTTCTCGGTTGTTTGTTGTTTCTTGTACGCAGTTGGGACGATTCGTCTTCTTTAGAACCGTGGTCCCTCCTCACCCACCCCTTTGGCTCGACAGGAAAAGTACAAAACAACAAGGTAAACAGAAACAAATCAATCCCAACTTGTTTTCTTTTCTTTAAAGTCTTAATTGCTTGGGTTTATAAAAATGGAAATCAAGCTTTTCCCACTCTTCTGTCTGCCTCAGTAGTTTGTCCATGTAGCTTCGAGAAACACGACTATGGAGAATGGACCTTTGGTTTTTGAACCTTACGCCATGCGCATGGTTACTTGGCAAATCTATTCAATTCTAACGTCAAATCTTTAGCGCCAACGCGTCACAGGTACAACTACGAAAATGACCTCTAATATAACCTCACTACTAGAAGGCAGGTTGTAGGCTTCAAATCTCTATGCCCCGACCTAAATAATAAATGAAAAAGAAAATACAAATGACTCAAAAAGGCTGGAATTATGGTGTTTTTACTTTCGATTAAGTAATTAACGATGAACATGTCATACTGAAAAGTAAATCTAATAATTTTAAAAATGATATAGTAATATAAAATAAAAATTATTAAAAAGCATAAAAAGATATAATATAAAATTTTAATAAAAAATATATATTTAATAAAAATAAAAAATATATTTTTTATTTGATATGTTAATATAAATTGTGATATAATAATTTAATATTTTATGTGAAACAAATGCAATACAAAAACATGAATTATTATATTCATCCTAAAATGCAACAGTTGCTATCTCAATTATGGTAAGCTTACCACAGAGGAAGATCTATGTAGCAATAATTTCGGAAGAGCGTTTTATAATAGTGTTTCACTTCAATTTTGTTACTATATCCATTAAGATGTCCGATAAAAGGTATAGTAAACCGTAGCCATTGACACTATTCACATAAATACAAATACAAACAATAAGTCGTTACGGAAGTTCTTGATTCTCTATCAACTATCACCCCCTTTGAATTTCTTTGCTGAGCTCATGGACATGAGCCACTCGTTTGTGTCAAATGCTTATCTTACTTCCTCAATGACAGACTATATAGGATGTTTACAGAGCTAAAACAATGGCAAGAAAAAAAAAAGATGGCTCTCCTATTCTATTTGTTCTTAATTTTTCAGGTTTGCTCAAAGCTTGCTTTCGCTCATTCTGCTGTCAAGTTTCTTCCTGGATTTGAGGGGCCTCTCCCTTTTGAACTTGAAACCGGGTAATCTAATGAATTTCTGAGGTAATTTTTGCACTTTTTGGTAGTGAAGATAGTTGTTTGATATAATATCTGTGTATGTTTTTGTCAGGTATGTCGGTGTGGATGATTCAGAGGACGTTCAACTCTTCTACTACTTTGTAAAGTCGGAGAGAAATCCCGCGGAGGACCCTCTTCTGCTTTGGTTGACTGGTGGACCTGGCTGCTCTGCCTTTTCAGGTCTTGTTTTTGAAATTGGTAAGACAGCCAAATTCGACCTGAGCAGCATTGATTTAATTATTTGCACTTTGCTTAAAAAAAAGGGTCACTTCTGAAGTTCTCGACATGCACAATAATACGATGTACACATTTTAGAACTATACGATTTACACTCAATTTATAAAATATTATTTGTTTTGATTTAAAAATCTTATAATTTTATTTTATGAAGTATATATTTTAAATATGAGTTTAAATTTATATATATATATATATTATATTCTTTTAATGTAAGATTAAAAGTGTCACAATCTTTTCACTTAAAATTTGATATTTTCGTTAAACTCAATACAAAATATATTTAGAATTATAGAATTAAGATCATATTATAAATTAAGATTTTAGAGATAATTCTTATCGAATAACACTTAATTTTTTAAAAATTTTAGATATGATTTTCACGTCATAATACTTAACCCTATTTAATTGATAAATGTTTTAATACAAGTTATGAAATAAAATAATGAGATTTTTAAATTAAAATGATAATAACTTATATTACGTGTAAATCTTCACAAAAACCCGAGAAATAATGGAGTCATATTGATGGAACAACAGATTACTGTTGACTTTGAATCTTATTAATCAACAGTTTTAGTCTACAAATTGATAATTTGAAATTAAGGAAGTGTTGCATCAGATGTCGGATGATAAAATGATAGTCGATCATCAGATTGAAATGACCATTTCGTATGGTTTGTGCATTTTTCATAATATTTCAGGTCCATTGAATTTCAAGGCTGACGTGGAGTACAATGGAAGCTTGCCTACGTTGGTATCGAATCCATACTCATGGACAAAGGTGATCATCCCATTTACAGGACTGAGACAAGTCTCCTTTTCCTTGGCTTTTACGTTCTCTCGTTTGAGATTTCTAATGAAGTTGGACAATGGTGAATTGATGATTTGCTTTCAGGTGTCCAACGTCATATTTATAGATTCACCAGTTGGCACGGGATTCTCCTATGCAACAAACAATCTTGCTGCACGGACAGGTGATTTCAAACAAGTTCACCATCTCCATCAATTTCTTCGGAAGGTACACCCACATCTTTTAAGCAATTCTGACCAGGTTCCAAAAAAAAAATCTCTTGGACTGTTTTATTATTTATCTGAAGCAAAATTTTCCATTTTGAAGTGGCTGATGGATCATCCAGACTTCATTTCGAGTCCAGTATATGTCAGTGGGGACTCGTATTCTGGCATTCCAATCCCAGTCCTTGCTCAAGAGATTTCATACGGTAAATGTTCAACTGAAAAAGAAATCTCGTGGAGATGAATATAGCTTTTTTAATTTTTCACATGATGATGCAGGAAATGAAGAAGGCATCAGACCGTTGATTAACCTACAGGTTTGGAATTTTGCTCTGTCCTTGCTCTTGTTCCATTTTGAGAATAAATGCAAACACTGTGCCAGTAATGCTTATAAATAATTTTCTAGAATGGAATAGGGTCTCACTTGCAGCTTATATGCAGATAAAATTATCAGCCAACCTATTGAAATTTGACAACAACCTTTTATTTTTTGTTCCATTAAATCCCATTTTCAGACCATTTAAAGATTAATTTAGGGCTAATTAAGTCTAGACTTGATTTTTTTTATTATTAAAATTTTATAATTAAATTTAACCAAGAAATTAAGAAATAGGTAATTTAAAATTTAAGTACCCTTTGATATCAAGGCTTTACTTGGGAGGAGAGAAAATTAGACGAAAAGAGGAAAGTCAATGATAGTTGCTCATATTTAAAAGGGTAAAAGGGAGAAAAAAAAAGAATGATTCTAATTAATTAACAAACAAAAGTCAATCCTCTTAAATTAAGGGGAAAAAAAAAGACCTGTAAATTAAGTGTTTTACCCTTCAAGTTTATCTCTGAGTTCTTTTTTCATATATTGTGAGTGTAAAAAAGACTGACGATATATATATATATATAAAATATGATGAAATCAAGCAAACTCCATAGGCCTAAGTAGCTGGAATCACACTTGAAAAGGTTATTTACTTCAATCAAATGAATGAACAAAATCCTTAAAATGCACTTGATCTAAGAACTAGCCAAGGATGTTTCATGTCTTTCTTGACTTTTCTAATTAACGTACCTTTACTAGCAACATTAAATAGTACTTCAGGGTGAGTAATGGATTCTGATTGCTTTCAGGGATACATACTGGGGAACCCCCTAACAGTGCCAAATCTCGAAGCCAACCTCAAGATTCCATATGCCCATGGAATGGGATTAATTTCTGATGAACTCTTTGAGGTGATGCAATCTAATCTCTCTTCAAATTTTGTCACTGTTCAAAGAAAGGCGAGAATTTTATTAAGCAATGAGTTGGTTTTACCTTTTCCAGGCATTGAAAAGAAATTGTGGGGGAGATTATCAAAATCTAGATCCCATTAACGAGGAGTGCCAGAAAGATGTTCAATATTTCTCCAACGTATGCGCCTATTTGATTTTTTTTTTCTTTATAAATTAAAAAAAATTCTTTTTTGTTGTTTTATTCTTAAAATTGATTCCTATTTCAATTATCCAATCCTCAGTGTATTTCAGGACTTCAAATTGCCCAGATTTTGGAACCTATCTGCGGTTTCGCTTCCCCGACGCCACAAGTGATTGGTAGAAGGCGTTATCTAGATGAACACCATGATCAAGAACTCCTTGATGATGAACCACCAACGCTTCCTCCAATTGGCTGTCGTGTAAATTACACGTTTTCCTAACATGCTCACTGTAAATATAGGCACACGTAAACCGGGTCCTAACTGATTTCCTGCACTTAATTTGATTGATTTTAATTTTTATGTCTGCAGGCTTATTCATACTTGCTCTCTAATTATTGGGCCAATGATGATAATGTCCGAAAAGCACTCCACATTAGAAAGGTACAACATGACATTGATTCTTACAAATAAAAATAGTGTCTGAAAAATTAAGTAAAGAGGTAACTCCTTCTGATCTGTTTCAGGGAAGCATAGGAGAATGGCAGCGGTGCAATTATGGAATAACTTATAACGCTGATGTTCCAAGCAGCTTTCAGTATCATGCAAACCTCAGCACCAGAGGATACCGTGCTTTAATATACAGGTGAGAATTTATTTATTTATTTTTTTACTTGGTACGGTTGAAGTATTGTTGTCATTTTGATTTCGATGCAGTGGCGACCATGACCTGCTCGTGCCCTTCTTGGCAACTCAAGCATGGATAAGATCGCTAAACTATCCAATTGTTGATGATTGGCGACCATGGATGCTGCAGGGCCAAGTTGCAGGGTCAGTCCGCAGATCATTCGGGTTTTTTTTTTTTTTTTTCATTTTTTATTTTAAATTGTGATCTTTACACTTACAAGGGGGATATTAACTTCGTATTTTGTATGAATACATTCTGTAGATATACAAGGAAGTATTCTAACAGGATGACATTTGCCACTGTTAAGGCAAGGAAGTTTTTCTGTTTCTGTTTACTTTCTTATTCCTATCAACAAAAAAAAAAAAAAAAAAAAATTAAAGGAAATTGGTCGTTTTCATTTTGTTTCCTTCGTAAAATTTTAGTTGAATTTGTAGGGCGGAGGGCACACAGCTCCCGAGTACAAGCCTGCAGAATGTTTGGCCATGTTTAAAAGGTGGATCTCTGAAGAGCCTTTGTGATAGAGACATCAAATCATAGCAAAAAATGTTGAACTATACGATAGTAAGGGTCTGGTTCACAGGTGCCTGTAATAATATCTGAAAATTGACATGGAATTGCATGCCAAAACAATGAAATCTCCCAGCCAAAAGGAAGTTGTACTGTACTGAATCGTTTGAACCATCATGCTATATATAGAAGTAATTTCCGGTTCTCAGCGTTCATATAATTAATGCAATTCTAAATATTGTGTGTTTTTTTTTTTTTTTTAAATACCATCTTATTACATAAAAAAGAAGGAGTGACTTGATTCAAACTCAAATTTTAATGTCTGAAAGATAAAATTAATGTATATTTGATCATTGAATCGAACAATGGCTCTTAAAATTTTTGTTGTGGTATATGATACTAGAATTATAATGAAGCCGAGTCAATATTAAGAAGCTCGTCAAGAGCTACTATCAAGGGATGTCAATATAGTGATCAAACTTAAATTTTGTTCCTTTTTACTATTTTTGAATAACTGTTATAGACTTTATATTTCAATATTTTAAACATAAATAATTAAAAATATTCAATTTACGAAAATAGTTATGTCTAAGTCTCAAAGAAGAGTGACCAACCAAAAAGAATAAAGAAATATCTTACATTGTCATGGATGTCGATTATTTCAATTAAGGTTGGCACAAATAATTAAGATATAAGACCTACAAAGCATTTAGATTCAAACTCTCACAAATTTATAAATTTAAAAAATCTAAAAATATCCATAAATTTTTCTTGTGAATTGATAATTTGTCCTAACATTGAAGATGGGATATCCTCCCCTTTCTGCTCCTAAATTTTTTTCAACAGAAAAAAAAAAAAATGTTATCCCAATCATATCACAAGGAGATTTCTGCAGACAGTAGTTCACATGTGTTTCTGTCATCGCTTTCACTATTTAGTTACCATACGATAAAATCCAGCGTGCAAAGGCTTAACCAATGGTTTCAGCCTCGCGTCTTTATTTGCCTCCCATAGTCTTATCTTCTCGCTAATTAATGAACCACACGACCCGTTTATGTGATTTACATCACCGACCTCAACGTAGATTCCATAGTTCATATGCATAGCCAAAGGCGTGGATCTTTAGATAGAACAGAGCAGGGATATATAGAAACTCATCAGAGCTTTGGAATGGCGCTGCTCTTCCTTTTGTTCACTCTTTTACAGGTTTTCTCACAGTCACAGTTCACCGTGGCTCATTCATTGGTTAAGTTCCTTCCTGGATTTGAGGGGACTCTCCCTTTTGAACTTGAAACAGGGTGAGTTAATTATCAAAAGAAAAAGAAAAAGAAAACTCCGGAATTAGGCTATACTTTTTATTTTCTTGGATTGCAGGTTCATAATGTCGTGTATATGTATATGTGCATGTTATTGTCAGGTATGTTGGCGTCGGTGAATCGGAGGCCGTGCAGCTCTTCTATTACTTTATACAGTCGGAGAGAAATCCTGAAGAGGACCCTCTCCTGCTTTGGTTGACTGGTGGCCCTGGCTGCTCTTCCTTTTCTGCTCTTTTTTATGAAATTGGTAACTCAAGTCTAATGCTACAGTAGCATATTTAGTTAATTCTGAAACTATTGCTTAAAGAACAGGGAGACTTTGGAGTTCTGGCGAGTTCAATGGCAATGGTTAAATTACCTCCACAAAGACCTGACACATTACGTGTATATGCATGATAGCAGGATAAACACTTTTCAGGATCCCGGAGAATAATCTATTAATATTGATAGATCTCCTGAATTAATTGTCCTTGAGCTTAATTTTCTAGGCTGCCTAGCCCACAAAGGAAACTTTCCTAAGATTGCATGCAAAAGATGATAGATTGATGATCAATCATCAAAATCCAATGACCACATCATGAAGGCCAAGCAATATTTGTCTTAACATTGCAGGTCCATTGAATTTCAAGGTCGATGTGGAGTATAATGGAAGTTTGCCTACAGTGCTCTTGAATCCATACTCATGGACAAAGGTGATTATTCAATTTACTGGAGAGGGACAAGTTTCTTTTGCCTTTGCTTTTCCTTCTTTCAAGGTTTCCAGTAACCCGGACAACCTTGTGATTTGTTTTAGACATCCAGCATCATATTTGTAGATTCACCAGTTGGCACTGGATTCTCCTACGCAAGAAACAATCTTGCTAAACAGACAGGTGACTTCAAACAAGTGCACCAGCTCCACCAATTTCTCAGGAAGGTACATCCATCTTTTAAACAATTTCCAATTTCGAAAAGTCCTCTTCGTATCATTCATTAAGTACCCAGACAGGCAAAGTTATTCTCTGATTTGCAGTGGTTGATGGATCATCCAAATTTCCTCTCAAGTCCAGTCTATATTGGTGGGGATTCGTACTCTGGCCTTATACTCCCAATACTTGTTCAAGAGATCTCATATGGTATAAGAACCGTATACTATTAGAGTTAGTATCTGATGGATTACCACGTTGCACATTATTTTTATTTATCCTATCAAGTTAGATATTAAAAAAGTACACAAATGATGCTGAATGTCCAAGTTTTTAACAGTATATTTTATAACAATGCATGCAGGAAATGAAGAAGGGATCAAACCATTAATTGATCTCCAGGTTTGGAATGTGTCCTTCCTTTAGTTTCTGAGACTATGCATAAATTATTTATGCTTATATATATCTAGTTATCTACAGGACTTGAACATAGCTTATGCTCTGCCTTTCAAAAGAATAAAAAGTAAAAAATAAATAACTAGTACTTCAAGATGGGTTGCAAATCAGCTAACGTATCGTGATTTCTAAGTGATTTCAGGGTTTTATACTCGGGAACCCCATGACAGTTATTAGTCTTGAAGCCAACCTCCAGATTCCATATGTTCATGGAATGGCACTAATTTCTGATGAACTCTATGAGGTAAATTGATGTCTCAAACACCGCCAAATTTCTTCGGTTCCAAACTTGGTTGTCGTCTCTGAACAAATCAGAAAACGCGTAAAGGCAACAAAATACTTAATGATCCTTCTACGCTTTTTCAGTCATTGAAGAGAAATTGTGAGGGGGAGTATCATAATATAGACCCCAGCAATGAGGAGTGTCAGAAAGATCTTCAATATTATGACAAGGTCTGCTAATTTTTCTTTATACTTGTTTTACTTTATTGTTGTTCAGGTTATCATTAATTATTTCTTTCGGTTCTTATCTCAATTATGGAACTCTCAGTGTGTTTCAAGACTTCAAATAGGACAAATTCTAGAGCACAGGTGCGCTGAGGCTTCCCCCACGCCACAAGAGATGTTGGCTAGAAGGCGGTATCTTGATGAACACCATCAAGAATTCCTTGATCCTTTCCCACCTCCTACAGTTGGTTGTCGGGTAATTTTGCATTCTCCTAAAATGCTCATCGTATATGTAATTCATCAGGGTACCACTGGATGAATGAATTGGTTATCCAATAACCTCAAGAGGCCTGTGACCAGTTTTTCTGTTGTAAACTTAAATTATCCTGCATTTTGATTTGTTTCCATGCCTGCACAGACTTATTCATATTTGCTCTCTGACTATTGGGTTAACGATGATGATGTCCAGAAAGCACTCCACATTAGAAAGGTATGAAATTGGTGGTTAAAACTTAAAATGGTATGGGAAAAAGCAAGAGAAGCAAAGAATCAACTCTTCTGTTTTGCAGGGAAACATAGGAGAATGGCAGAGATGCAGCTATTCTATACCTTACACAAAAGAGATTCAAAGCAGTTTTCAGTATCATGTAAGCCTCAGTGCCAGAGCCTACCGCTGTTTAGTATACAGGTTAGGCTATTTCATGTGTACTTTACTTGATTCAAAATCAATGATGATGTACAATTAAATGTGAAATTTTTTTTCTCTTATCATATTGACTTCAATGCAGTGGCGATCATGATATGATCGTTCCCTTCTTGGCAACTCAAGCATGGATAAGAGCTCTGAACTATCCCATTGTTGATGATTGGCGGCCATGGATGGTACAAGGCCAAGTTGCAGGGTCAGTGATGATTCAGAGTTTCCAGTATTTTCTTTTTCTAATTTGTGATCTTACTCTCACAAGGGAGCTTAATTGGTTAGAAGCTAAGTAGGGGCTTTTGATGACTGCATTTTTGTAGATACACGAGGACTTATTCCAATCGGATGACATTTGCCACTATTAAGGCAAGGAAAAAAAGAACAGTTATCAAATAAAAACATATTATTTCCATTTATTCCCCTCACAACATTGATCTGTAAATTTTGTAGGGAGGAGGGCATACAGCTGAGTACACCCCGAAAGAATGTTTTGCTATGTATAAAAGGTGGATAAATGGAGAGCCTTTGTGACATAAATCATCAACTCCAACTTCAAAGCTGTGAAGTAAAACGTGGTTCAGCTAAGTTTGGATTGATTGATAGGAACTCAGATGGTAGCAAGAACTGTTCAAATATTATTCCATATGGCATTTTCATGGCCAAAAGGAAATTGTTAGATATTTGAACCATTATTCTCCAAACAGACGGTTGAAACAAAACGAGTAAAACTATGGAGAATGTAAATCCTAAGCCATCTGGAGCATAGTAATATAGACTGTAATTATTCTTTACATTTTCACTAGAAGATTCGAACCTTCTTCTCTTTTTTTTTTTAAAAGGACTACCAAATACCAACAAAGACATAGTATGCTTATGTTCGACATAATCGAAGCTAAAACCACCTCAATGTAATCCTTTTAAGAGGTTCAACTTCGAGGTTCAACTTCTGGGCACTGCATAATACTAGGATTTTAAACTACAACCAGCCAGGATTTTGGCTTAATAATAATAACTTAACATTTTTACTATAAAGCCTAAAATATTATAAAACCTGAAATTGCAAACACCAAATCCAATTTTAGCAAAAGAAAAAATTCAATGTAGTTCATTAATATAAATGACTTATTTGAGAATCAGTGAGACCTTTCATCAGGTGTACCTCATAAATCCAAAATCTAACCACAAAGAAACAAAGAAGTCAATATTCAAAATCTTGATCTGAAAAATCGAAATGCAAATAAAAAACTTGACGCATGAGTTAAAAAAGAAAGTTTGCTTCGAGTTAGTACTCTCAAATTATTTGAATGAAAAATTTAGAAAAACAAAAACGAGAAATGCCTCTAAAACAGATCTGTCGTAGGCATTCTCCATTGAGGATCGGAGATGAGAAACTTGGTTTTTCTCTACTTTATACCTTTTTACTCTTCGTCTGTTGTAGTCAAATACAAGTAAAACTCTGTTCTTATTACCGTTGTAATGAAGTCAGTATTACAATATGAAAAGAAAAACTTATTCAAGAACAGAAAAATAAATTAATCCTCCGCGACCCCCTTTAATTAAACAATATTGAAACAAACAAAAGCTCTTTAAACAAACAAACCAACATCATTAAATCTGGGACTAATTCCCATAGCTTTTACGTCTATTAATAATTATTAGGTTTCAAACACCTATATCCAATCCAATATGGAAAGAGAGACATTAAAAAAATATGGATAAAACAATGCATGGAATTGAGCAGAGGCGTTAGATCTAAGATATTATCAGAGACAGAGAAAGGTTAGTTGGTCCAAGTGATCAATTATACAAGCCCCATGTTGCTGACAATAATGCAAAAATAGGCAGGGTCACGGCAGCAACTGCCATGACTTTTGCCAAATTATAACTATTCATGCCAGTGCCACCAACAGCAGGGAACACTTCCTCACCCTTTAAATCCTGACTCACAGTAAAACCATCTCCCTGTCTCCATGCCAGTTGCTTCGTCCACACTCAGACATGTAACGACTGTTTTTTCCCCTTCCCTGTGCTTTTCCCATTATTAATTTGATTTCGCTTTTCTTTTTCAACCGTTCAACTAAAGAATAAACGTCAAATTCTACTTCTTGCATTAGACAGACAACAATATTTTTCATTAAAAATTAAAAATTATCAACAAAAATCAGCTGACCTAAACAAATGGGCATCAATAAATGCCCACATGATCCTGTTCCCTTCCCATTGCCAAATTCTAATTTCTGAGCCAAATGAGGGTGGTATTGTTATTCTAGATCAGCATCGTTTCTTTCCTAGCTAGTTTCTTTATTCATTGTAAGTCCAAGGATTATGTGACTAGATTTGATATTCAGTAAGGTTCATTTCAGCAGCTAATAGAAGCAAAAACTAGAGAGAAAAGGTAAATAGGAGAATAACGCCTGCCAACTATCTCTAATCAAGATTACAATAGCGAAATAGAAAGCTAAACATTTGCCACCTAAAAACTGAAATTCTAAGCAAGTTATAACACAACCTTTGGACCGTCAAATCTAAATCACAATTCACAAGAAAAAATAAAATCAAAATTAAAATTAAAAAAAAAATTAAGACTTACCTTAGATTAAAATTGAGCTTAAGCTTGACTGAACAACAAAATCAAGATAAGTTGGACCAAATAAAACTTAAGCTTGATTGAAACAAAAATATTGTTAGTCATTTCGTTCATTACAAAAATCAGAATCAAAATGAGAGATTGATTTTAATGAATACTTATCTCAAAACGACACAAACGGAAAAATATAATTGAGCTGAAAGAAAAAAATTTAGGGATTTTACCTATTAACAAAAACACAAATCCTAAGAACATAATGATGGAGAATGATTCAACAATACCTAGCCAAATAAATTGAAGAAATTGTAGCAGAGGAAATCCAAGTAGCGTTGTGAAGTTGAAAGTTATGGTGATGATGGTGGCCGAGATTAGTAGTGTCGATGGCGATGGAAATTAGCACGAGTGAAATCTGAGAGAAATTTGAAATTGTTGGTGTAGAATGGTGAGAGAGAGATTTCAAAAAATCAGAGGTGAGACTCACGGGGATAAACGAAGCTTAAATTGACTTCATTGTTATTACTTTCAGAAGTTAAAATAGAATGTATATTTTCTTCTTATAAGAAAGTCCAAAATGTCACTGAAGGCACCGTATTTAGAAGATTTATTTCTTTTATTTTTCTTTTTTGAAGATTATTTAGGAGATTTGTTTTAAGTTTCAGCAAATAAATTAATAACTCTATTAAAAAACAAATAAATTAATAACTATAATGTTACAACCACTAGTGAAGTTCCTTTCTAAATCCATTGGTGGATGAAATTATCGTAATGTGCAAAGGCCCCAAATTACCCTTCCCTGTTACAGGCTTATAGCTTGCCAACTTGCATAAGTGTAACACTGGTGGGAGGAAAAAAAAAAAATTTCTCAAGATCGCAGCACCTCCGGAACTTGTGCAAGTTATCTTCCATTTGTGTCTCCAGAGAAGAGAAACCAGTCAGCTGTGCTTCGCATCCACTCAAAACATATATGCACAAACAAAATTAGGGTTCCATCAAGAAACATCACAATCACTTGTCTCGCAATTCCTTTTTCGGAAGTCCATCAAATCTCCTGAATCTGAAATTGAACCTTATACCTACAACAAATCAAACAAATATGGAAAACATTTATTGTGACGGCTCTCGTTTTAAAAATGATCTGAAACAGTTAGAACAATGCAATAATGTGCGTTCTTCACAGATTCGGGTCACCAAATCATTGTACATTATTAGGTCACGAGTTATTGCCAAAGAAACAGCAAGCATTACCATTGGAATTTCTTGAGAAGAACTTTAGCACCTCGTCAATAATTATAACCTGGCAGCAGATGGAGAATGTTAGAGGTAAGCGAAATACATCATATCTTGGTAAAGGCATACCACACCTACCAATCAATAATTTGGAGGGGAAATTAGGAAGAAGTAACTATAATTAACACCGACCAACCAAATAGTACATGCAATAGTGGAACCATATATTTTAGCATGAAGTTGTTTCCACAAAGTTAAAGGCCAAGATAATGAGGGTGCCATGAAAAAGCAATAACAAGATAAGGAAATTATTCGTTTGCATAGCACATAATCACGGACAAGGCTCTCAATTAAACATTAAAGAATATCATATCACAATGCATTTATACCCTTTAAAAAAGCTATGGTACTTAAAACTTACAGGGAAAGAAAGATACAGGATAACAGTCCACTCATCCCACGACAACGGTGTAACCTATGCAACAAAAAATCCCATGCCATTGACTTAATTTCCTCAAAGAAGAAAAACGAAAGTAATAACGAATTGAATATTAAGGTTAATAGCAGAAGGAGAAAACAACTTACAGAGAAGAGTATAGATAGCGGGGGAACATACAAAATAAGTATGTGAAGGAGCATTGTTAGGATAATTGAAGCAACCAGCCACAAATTACTCCAAGGTGGAATAACCCTGAAATTAAGCGGTATTGGAAAAAAAGTTAGAGCAAAATCTTTCCTTTCTCTTTTCTTTTTCCTCATTGAGTTTCCCGTTAACTACAAGTGAAAGAAAGACCACACTCACAAAAGTGATTGGTTTTCACTGAGGTTATTCAAAGCATTAAACATCTCAACAACAACAAGCACAGTCATGGACACAGTTGATGGATGCCGATCCTCAAAGATACTGCATGGATAAGTTGTCTCCCTTGTTGAACATGTATCGAAATTCATCTGAAACAAATGAAGTTGTTATATATCATGAAAGAAATATATAAAGACATGAAAACATAGAAAAGAGATTTTAAAGGGGAAAACTTGAACATATAAAGCCACCTTCAGAAAATCACACAAAGACCCCATCACTCTTTTAAGTTAAAGTACATGCACTAAAACATAAAAGTTTCAAAAGATTTATTCACCAAATTTTAGTTAACCAATATAACCGCAGTTTGCTATTGAATGTCTCATATATCTAGACAATTCTTCATAATAACACTGGGAGATAAATCAAACTGCACACCATGGCTGAAAACAAGAAGGAAAGAAACAGGTAACTCTTCAATATATTCCTCAAAAATGTGCCCAAAGGCACAAATTCATTAATATCAAAAGCACAACCAGACGGGATGCCCATGCCAAGGAAGTCAGCACTAATCTTGCATATAAGTAACATTAAAGAAAATAGAAACTTACCAATTCAGCATATGGTAGTCTAGGACCAGTTTCTGAGTAAACAAACCACCATATGAACCCCGCAACAGTGGCAAGGCCAACATAAGCTACATCAGCCAGAAAACGTTTCTTATTAGTGAAAAATTTACCCCAAAAAACAAAAAAGAAAAAAGAGTAAAATACAGTTAATTGAGTCAATCCAAATTCAAAATGAGGGATCAATGAGGGCATTCTTGTATAAGATGTTACTATGTTTCCTGCTTGTATAAGATGTATGTTTCCTGCTTATTGCAGGTGATTCCTTGTAGCAGGTCAAATTCCTGCCTTTATTGGATGAATAAAATTTTTACTTATAAGAAAAGAATCAAAATCCAAATGCATGTGGGAAGCAAAGCAACATGATATTGCAATGTGAAAGTTGTTTAGAAGATGCCCCAAAAGGGAAACAAAGCATTCCAAACTATTAGCAATAGATGAAATTAGAAGTAAATATTTATAGATACCTCCAATCACCAAATAACGAAAGAACAGCCAGCCAGTGACCACTGCTTCACCAACCTGCACACCCAAGTTAAATAAAGTGACAGACCTGA